TGTCTAGTTCCAGCCTCATCATCACAATGAATACAGAAAGGTGGGTTTGGAGCTGAGAGATAACAGCTGAATAACTGGCACATTCATATAACTGTACACTGTACGCCAGAGAAAGTGCATAAAATAGAGCGATGCTTATTTGCCTGGATTAAGCTCACAATTTCTTATATTAAAAGATAAGAAACATGCAGAATGGTATGTTTAATTTGATGCCATATATACAAAGTTTTAAAAGATGCAAAATAATACTAAGATATTTATGTACATATGTAATAAACTACCAAAGATTCATGAGAATGATCTAGAAAAATCTTAGGATAAAGATTTCCTCTAATAAAAGCAAACAGGGAAAGGAGAAGAATGCAATTGGAAGGAAATACAGAAGGTGCCCACTCTATTCATGACAACTCATGCCTAAACTGGGCAATGGGTATATGGGCTTTCATTCCACTTTCTCATCTTTTCTAATATATTTGGATTCCTTTCAAATCAGTGAGATGTTTAGTCAATGAATTGGTTCCTGGCCACAATGCATGATTTAGGAGTTACTAGTAAGGCACACACCTGCCCTTCATCTACACACTTGCTACTTCTATTTTCATGTAGTCAAGAGCATATATATCCTGGATATCTCCCAGCAGGAGTAAATTATAAGCAATTGCTTTTATGTTATGTCCAAATGACAGTGCTCTCACTAATTCACTGATATGCTCTAGACATCACTAAGATACTTAAATTTGAATTCATACATGGCCATATAGGAGGCATGATCTGGTCAATGAAATATTTTCATCTCATTCTGTAGGATCTGTAGAACTATCATGACCCAAATACAAACAGACACTCATTCTGGGAACCCATTCTCCCTTTTCTTAGAAATTTTTTTTGGTTCATTCTGCACCTTTGTTTCAGGCACTGGGATACACATTAGAAACACATCAAGGGAAATAAACATGATTTCTGTCCTTGAGAAGCTCATTGCAGTGGTAAATACATCAAATGGGATGATGTTTCTATCGTGGTGTACAGTGTTCCACAGGAGCACAAAGATAGTTATTTTCCATTTGTCTGTGTATAGTAATGGGTGTTGGATAAGTGTCAGGTTATTGAGTGAGTGGGACTTAGGCAAATAATTAGTTAATAAATAGTTCTCTACTTATGAATTGTATCAACCTTTGGGAACTTACCTTGCCCTGAACTTCAGTGTCCTCATCTGTAAAGTGAATTTACTAGAACTCACCAATGCTATGAAGGTTATAAGAATTTGTAATGGGTGTAAAGTCTTGCAGAAATAATTCATTTTAGGCTTCATATTCTTTGCTTTAACATCTACCATTTCCTGTATTTTTAATTAAATCTTAAATTTCTGTAGCTCTGGCTTTTCAGTTCTAGCAAATGGAACCTTACTTATAATTCTGAAGTTGCTACAGTAGACTTCTTAATCATTACTTAACAGAAGGGCAGGCTAAACGCAGGTGGGTGGGTGATGCAAGTCAAACCAAAAAAACACTTGATATGTATTTTATGTAAAGTCTGATACCAAAAATACTAAATTCCTGTCCTATAATTGGTAACCATGTGCATGTCCTTATAAAGTTGTCCATAAAAACCCTTATTTCAGCCTTCTGGAATTCAAATATTTTATGTTTGTTATTTCTGCTCCTGAGTTCTAAAGCGTTTTTGGCTCACTGGTCATCATGGGTAACTGTATTCAAATTTGCACTTCTAATTCTGGAGGATATGTAAACTACCATTTTTCCTTATCATAAAAAAGAGTATCGGCCTCCTTCTTTTGCCTTGTTTCTCTTTGTTTATAAAGGGTTTAAAAAAAATCGTTGACTGTTAGAAACCTCATCTTCAAACAGTATTTGTGAGATACTGAAAATCAGCAATCTCATAAAATGTTCTTATTATTTATTATGCATTTATTTAAAAGATTAAAATTATAATGTAAAATGACCTTAGCATAAGAATTCCTAGTCTCCAGCTCATGGATTGAACCTCAAGAGTTCAACAAGAATAAATGAAGGGTATAATTTTTTTTTAAATTAACATCTGAGATAAAAAATGAAAAGTACATAAGAGGAACAGGGGAGCAAAGGCTTCCAACTCATAACTGATCAAAGGTATCACCAAGATTGTTCGATTTGCATTTACAGAAGATGTCACAAGATTCTTTTTTAGGGGGGGTGGATAATTAGATTTTTTTAAATTTATTTATTTTAACAGAGGCACTGGGAATTGAACCCAGGGCCTCGTGCATGCTAAGCACACACTCTGCCACTGAGCTCTACCCACCCCCACAAGATTCTAGAAGACAGGTACGTTGATGTCACTCAGTTCATTCCTATTATTTTTCTCCCTTGACTTATTTTCAAGTGGGGTGGAAATTCTGTATCAGAATTATTGAAATATCTTCTTTCCTACTCTAAGTACTACTTCATGTCTCCAGATCTGGTAAGTCAAGAAGTCCTCTTCACAGTTATCACTGTTTCTACATCTAAATGTCTTTTCAAGAATGCTTTTGGGGGATGGGGGTATAGCTCAGTGGTGGAGCTCCTGCTTAGCATGCACGAGGTCCTGGGTTCAATCCCAAGTACCTTCACTGGGAAAAAAAAAGAATGCCTTTGTTAGAGTATCTGTGTGTGGCTGCATGTGTGAGTGTGTGTACCTGTGTTCTAAGCATATTTACTTCAGCAGGCATCAGGCCTAAGATGCCATCATCTATGAAATACCTAGGAAAGATGGTCAGAATGGAGTTAGAGAAGGTGAATGGAATTTATGAAAGAGGTCAAAACAGAAAAAATGTCACTGGAAATCACTTATGTATATGATTGAGCTGACACCTTGAGGGTGGGTCAGAATGCAAAGAAAGAATAAAAAAGTAGAAAGTAGAGGCAGTGATCACGGCAGAGTAGGTGGATATATCACAGAATTACTAGACTAGATCATATCACAGGGGCAATGTCACCTAGAGCCAGGAGAATGCGCAGACAGTGTCCCAGGACCTAGTGCCTGGAACATGGTATGAGTTAAAGAACCAAGGACCGAGAGGTGCGCCGAGGGAAAGCTGAAGCTAAAGGAACAGTTTTGTAACACAGAAGCCCGTGACTGGAAAATTGTAATAGTGCATTTCAGGAAAAAAGCCTGGCAAAAGCCAGGGTAGGTAGAAACCAGGGCCTTGTTTACTCCCCCCAGACCTACAGGAACTCAAAAACTCACATGAAATCTTAAGGTGAGACAGGAAGATGTTTATCAAAGAAACTGGGTTCTGACCTAAGATTTTTTAGAAACAAAAGAGCTACTCCCTCAGGTGCATTTCCCTGAATCAAGGCCAAGTCAAACTACGCTTGAGTTGTTCAGCAAAATAAAACGTGTGTGTGAAAATCACTGGACAAGAGATGAGTTAAAACGTTGTGATGTGAACAATTTTTTACCACTGAGTTAAATACTCTTTATTTTCCTTAGGACTTGCTGCTTTTTGGTTTTTAGTTTTGTTTTTGTTTTTAATGAACTGAAGCACAGCTGACAGGTCTGAGTGTGAGTCAGGGGAAGAACTGTCCTTTAGCAGGCGGGCGGTGTGCTGGTCCTGGAACGCCCCCTGCTTATCGAGACCTATGCGGGGCTGATGTCCTTTGTCAACAACGAGGCCAAGCTGGGCTACTCCATGGCCCGCGGCAAGGTCGGCTTCTAGGTGCCCTGCTCGAGCCCGTCCTGGGGAGCCGGGCAGGCGGGACTCGGGGCTTCGGGGCAGCTCCCCTGCCGCTGGCAGGCTCGGGGCCCTCACATAGGGGTCTGGGTGCGATTGGCGGAGTCAAATGAACTGTGTACTTCAGCCGGATATTGGACATCTGGGAACGCGAGCTACAGGCAAAGCAAGGTGAATCGGGCCGTCCGCGTCCTGGCCAGCGCCTGTTTCCTAGAACCTCACTTCTCCTGTTTGTCCTGGTGTCTCCATCCAGCTTCCTGCTGTCCTCCTACCCCAGCCCCCGAGCATGTTAGTGATAAACATTGGTGATCCCACTAGGACCCCCCCCCGCTGGCACCTCAGCTGCGTAGACGATCACACCCAGGGAGGTAGCGAGTACCCCAGTGCCTGTAGTTGCAAATATGTTTATAGTTGGTGTCAAATTTTGTATCTTGAGATTTAATCCATCTTCTTCAAGCAAATACAAAAGAAGCCAACGGACGTGAGCTCGGCAAGAGAGTCTGCCTGTCAGCTCCTGAATGAGCAGTTGCTTTTGTGTAAATATGTGTTTGACCTAAAGTCACACTTTTCCTAAAATTAATCTACATTGTGTTAATAATACTCACAGTATCTTCCCCAGGCCCAAAAAGGTTTGCAGAAAATCATTTTAAAACCAGTTATTAGTTTGAAAGAGTAAAAAAAAAAGAACTGTCCCTTAGAATCTATGAGGAGATCCTTGCTTGTATCTCCCTCACACCAGTTGTTTAGAGTCAGGAGTTGATAGTCAATCAACACTGAAACTTCTGGAAGTGAACTGTCATTGCCCAAGACTCACGGTATATACTGCAAAACCATTGCATAATGTCTCACTTCTTCAAGAGAAACCTGGCAAATCTGAAGTCTTTCATATTTTATAAAGAGAGAAAAGAACACACAATTTTGATGATTATGTGATTTGGACTATTTACATACATGTTCATTCATCACCACTGAAAACAGATTATTCAATGTTGAAAATAGTGTTACCATGAACAGTCACGGTCTTTGTGTTATGGGGTTTGTGTCTGTTAAGCTTCACCACAGCATTCAGGTAGGACTGTTTGGGGCTATGGAGTCCCTGGGCCAGTTACCTGGACTAGCCGTCATTTCTTCTAGGATGTCTCAAAACAACTTTCATCATTAATATAAAGTTCAGCCTTGGGGTTTATGTTTCCAGTGAAACTCCGATGAGTTCATGTTTCCATCTGATTAGAAAGTAAAGTCCACCGCCTCCCACCTCCACACCCCCTGCTTATTAGCACAGAAAACTAGGTGAGTTCAAATCGTCTTTAATGTCAAATGGAATTCACAATTCACTCTCAGTTCCCGTTATTACTGTTCTCTTCAAAGGCCACTGCTATATTTACAACGTCAGTGAAGCTTTTCACTCTGCTCTCACTCACACAAACAGGTACATACAAAGTTACACAGCAAATAAGGTTGGACCTAGGATTTAATCCTCATCTACCTGACCCAATCATCATCAATTACGCCATTATACCATACTGCAATATTTCAGCATTGCCACAAAAGAGGCAAAATTACCATAACACTTAAAAATAATCCTTGATGAGAAAAAATACACATATTGGGAAATCATTGGTCTATACTATTGAGCTGGCCATTCAAAGTTTCTTGGTAAACTTGGGAACCTGTTAAACACATTTCACAATCATATATTGGTACGATGCAGTGGTGAATGTGGTAAAGCAATGTCTTATACCATCACAGTATTTTGTAAAGCTATGATCATTAATGATGTGAATATTAACAGGTAAGTTGTTGCTGCGTTGCTGGTCCCACCTGAGATGGAGAGTGCATCTTTAGTGTACCACCTCCCAAACAGTGACACTGTTAGGATAGGCTCAGATGATCCATTCTTGTTTACCAAACGTCCATCATTTAGAACCTAAAGAAAATGTGGGAAAAGTATAGTCAAGTTGATTGAAATACACATTACAAGTAGACTCATGATTTTGAAACCGCCCTAGATAATATGGTTGATCAAGTAGGTTGCTAGGTAAGGGGGTTGGGGGTTGGGAATCTGGAGAATAGGTAGGAAAGGTAAGGGACAGCTGTTTTATATGTAATGAAGACTGGAATCATTCCAGAAGGTGCAATCATTGAATTTCAACAATCAAATTAATGAAAAGTCAGAAATATCAGTAGCAAAGATTTCTGAAGTCTAATTATGTGCAAGATAACCAGGAGCCCGAGGAGTACAAATAACACCCTTTCCTCACGAAGCTTAAAGGTTAATGGTGAAACTGAGCAGACCTTCCTACGCTCCCTTCTCTCACTTCCTTGAATTAGCCTCAGACACTTTCAACTCACCTAGACTTATTTGTGCCAGTGTAGCCAACTTTTAACTACTGGATTTCAGTTCCAGACCCCTTACTTCAGATCTGATCATGATTTTCTCTAGTTGGCATTTAAGCTTTTATTCCAGCTTCAATTTGCTCATGAGATTCTGCCTAACTGGGTTCTATGGCAGCCAAGGATTCCCATTCTCTGAGTTTCCCAGCCTTAAGGCTGCAGCAGATGTTAAACTGTGGTCCCAGAATCAAATACTTCCGTAAGGATGACATATTTCAATGTAACACTACAGGCAGACACAGATGTAGGACCATGGCAATCTACAATTTTAAAGATTTCCCTCGCTTGATGACTTGGATTAATTAGCCTAGATCTTATTTTTCTTTTATTAAAAAATGCAGTGATTTCACTTTAGTTACTGAAATTCCACCACAGTTTGCCACAGTTCAGTGGAGACATGAACGTCCAAATTTGTGGAGAATGTGTGTGTGTGTGTGTGTTTGTGTGTGTGTGTTTCTGTGCCATGTACTAACTAGGATATGAACCCGCAGAAGCTTAATTTTAATTTGAGATCAGTTTAGTTTGTGGATTAATTGATTATGGCCACTGTGATTTGTGAAATAAATATCTGATTTTCTGTTTGTCTCCACACATGACAAAAAGAAACTAAAAATCTGTAAGTAAATATTCTTCAACGAATGGTGCCTCAGGCACAGAGGTTCTAGGTATCTTAACTGTGTTATTCCAACAAAGTGTCATCACTTTAGAATTAGTTGCTGTAAATTACAAAAGTGGCCAAAAAATTTCTCCCTTTTTTATCCAAACCCTTTGCAGTATGATTTCACAGTTCTTTCCATTGAGAGTTCCACATCATTTATTTCTCCACCCTTTGAATCTACATTGGTCATGCGACCAGCTTTGGTGGATGAGACATTTGCAAACATGGTGCAAGCAGAGACTTGAAATGAATTTGTTTATTGTGTCTTTCCCTATTTGTGCTCTTGGACTCCCTTATCTAACATGTGCACATGCCCTGCTTGCTGGAAGGTGAGGGACCACAGAGAGAGAATGGCCCTAATCTCCCAGCTCATCACAAACCAACCAGCCCCAACTCACCCACCTGCTAGCAGCAGATGCATGTATGAATCCAGCCAAGATCAACCAAGCCCCTTCTAGTCTAGAAGAACAACCTAGCTACACCCAGTTCACATTGCCAACCACAAAATCAGGGCTAAAGAAATGGTTATTGTGTAAAGCCGTGAAGTTTTACGGAAGTTTGCTACACAGCATAAGTTAACAGATACAGCTGTCATAACCTGTTTTATGTAACTTCAGACCAGATAAAATGAAAACACTCTTAAAATTCTCCTACCTCAAATTTTCCAGGTGCCAGATGGATATTAGTAAGTAGCACTTCAGGAAAAACATACTCTGTTCCAAATGTGCCACTTAGGGAGAACATTTCAAATCTTGTCAGAGCAGTTTCTACCGGCTGTCCACATGTCGTCAAGTTAGTAGATTTGCATTTCACCAGGGTGCATACCTGTGTGGAACAGGTGCGGATAAAATGCAATGCCTGGAATCTAAGTAACTTGTACTAGAACTGTTGACTCAGTTTATAACCATAGCAAAGTAAATATTTGTCTCCATTTGATAAAGGGATTTGGATCATGTTTCTTTTAATTACCTGCTTTGTTGGAAATGGCAAATGATTAAGAACCAACCCTCATTTCCTGGGTAAATAATGGATTGAAAGAAGCCAGGTTAAAAGTAGGTTTGTAATAAGAAAGAAAAAAATCTGACTCCATATTAATTGTTTCTTTTACTTTATCCTTTGTATTCTATTGCTTTTGCTACAGTTAATCACTAAAGGGATGTTGCCTATAAGCTTAATTTACACATAATGGCCCATCTCTGGGAACCCTGCCCCATAGGAACTAAACATTAAGCTAAAATACCTTTGTTTAGCTCACAGGAAACATCCTGACCAGGCCCACCTGTGAATGGCTGCAGGAAAAAAGAAATGAATGCATCCCCTCCAGAGTCTGATTGAAACCAGGACTTTACCCCCTCCCCTTTTAGTATTAAAAAAAAAAAAGCCTGAATTTTCCCTCAAGGAAGATGGTTTTTTGGGAACAATGCATGGAGTCCTGCCAAGAAAAAGCACTTGGTTCCCGGGGACAAATATGAAAAGTTAACCCTGGAATTTACTGGCACCTAAACATTCCCCTTCACTTGAGCTGAGATTACCTGCCAATATTCTCTTCTCCTTCGGCCATGAAGTCCTGTAAAAGCTCCTAGCACATACACTTCATTCTCCTCTTTTCCCAGCATTCTGTAGCTCAAATGACAGCAGAGCTCTTTTTGACAGACTGTCAGGTTTCCTGCATTTTCAAAGAGCTCTGTGAAGTTGAACTCATCCCGGGAAATAAGTCCCCCGAAAGTGTGCTTCTGTACTGGGAATGGTTTGATGGTTGTGGCGTAGGCGCTCCAATTCACGGCTGTTGGGTAAGTCGGCGAGACTCGGGGATGCGAGTCCACCTCCGCAAGGAGAAGCTTTCCCAACTCTGTTTCCTTATCATAATAATATACCTTGGGAGAGTGTGGTGCATAGATACCGCTGCCTGAGAACAAAAGACAAGAATTTAAGAAATAAACAAACCAACCCAACACTGCCAATTTCCGCATCAGAATTGGGCATGTGGTCATGTCACAAGGTTAGTCATGATGAGACAGCACAAAGGCACTGAACACCTGAGTACTTCCCTGTCCTCTACTGGAGGAGATTCAAATACACGATCGGTGGTCTCATTTCAAATATGCTTTGAATAAAATACAATACAATATGTTAGCATTATGGAAAGTTAAGCCAAATATTAAAATCTTTGAATTCAGGAGGTCCTGAAATGTAGGGAAGGTAATGCAAATTTTTCTCCTGTCCTCCACTGTGGTGGTTTTCAAATAGATCCAAAAATTCTTCAACACTCCTCTCTCCAATGGGTAGATCTCATTCCTTTCTCCCTGAGTGTGGGCTTGACTTAGTGACATATGCCACAAATAGAATATGGTAGAAGTGATAGTTTGTGACTAGTCATAAAGGGCAATGCATGTTTCCTCTCTCTTTCTCTCTCATCCCTTGCTCTAGGGGAAGCCAGCTGCCATGCAGTGAAGAAACATCACACAACCCTATGGAGAGATCCGTGTGGCAAGAAATAAGGGTCTCTTGCTAACAGAGGGAATAACCACATGAGTGAGCCATCCTGGAAGTGGAAGCGGATTTGCCAGCCCCAGTCAAGCCTTCATATGACTGTTAGCTCAGCCAAAAACCTGATGTACCCGAAAGAGATGGCCTGAGCCAGAACTACCCAGCTAAGGCACTCCCACGTTCCTGACCAACGCCAGCTGTGAGATAATAAATGTTTGTTGTTTTAAGCCATTTTCACATTTTAGAGTAATTTGTTAGACAGTGACGTGTCAATAATACACTCCTCTGCCTTCACCAGTTGTAGAGCACATCTCGTTCAGTTTCCTGCTTAGCCACCGACTAGCTGGCCACCTTTGGCAAGTTATTTGTGCTTTTTGTGTCTCAGTTTTCTGCAAATTGGAATGAAAATACTCAGCCCATACATAGAGTTGTGAGGATAAATGAAATAATACACACAAAAGTCTAAACACAGCCACAGGTGTTATAATCTAGCACTAGCTATTGTGTGTGTGTGTGTGTGTGTGTGTGTGAGAAAGGATACAAACATAGTAAGAATTCTCAACAAAGAACAAAAAATTTCAAGTCATATCTGAAACATTAGTTTCTCTGCATTTAGAAACACGATTGGCATACCTCATCTGGTCATGAATTACCTGTCATTCTTAGGCTGACGTGATGTGTGTTGGCCACCAAAAGATTAACTCCCATGCCCATAGCCCAGGCTGAATGGAATTCAATAGCTGTCAAAAGGGGCAAAACATTCATCCACGCTGTGGGAAACAATACGGTGTCCACCTGGAAATCTTTCACCAGGGTCACAGCAGGATCATGGAAGAGTATATCGAAGCAAGTGAAAATGCCAAACCTTCCGAAGGTGGTGTTGAAAGTCACCACCTCTGGCTTTTCAGGGACATCAAACTGAGGCTCAGAGTAGAGGTGGTACTGCAACAAATGCACAGGATAAAACCAGGAAAGGCTTGTTTATTGAAGAAATGACTCATGAAAACCCTCCGAGGTTAGTAATTTTGAGATTTGGCTATGCTCAACAGCAGGGATTCTATAGGTGGTGGATGCATCTGGTGATTGGAAGTTAATTTCCAAGGAAAACAGAGAAAAATAGTGTCTGTCTGTCTGTCTGTCTCTCTCCATCCCACCCTCCCTCTCTCAATTAGGAGCCAATTACCATCTCATAAATCCCAAATACTACGTGCTTCTTGAAATCTGAAGACATACATCATTCTTCTTTGACTCCCTGATACATAGAAGCATAATAGATGCTCAATAAATACCAGTTAATCCAACGAGAGATGTCATCTCCCTTCCCGCAGTGTTCCATCAAAGTAATCTCAGGGACTCTTATCCAGCTTTCAAAATTGTTGAAAATAAATGTTTTATTTAATTCTCTCTGATTCCTTGGAGGTAAACTTGAGAAACTAACCTAGTCTAATATAATAATCAGGGTCAACAGCTTAATAAAATGATTTGCAAAGTAGGAAAGGCAAAGGGTTGGGAGCAATACTATTAAAACATTTCTCTCAGCTAGTAAGGGGGGAGGATATGGTTCACTGGTACAGTGTGTGCTTAGCATGCCAGAGGTCCTGGGTTCATCCCTAGTACTTTCATTCATAAATAAATAAATAAATAAATAAATAAATAAATAAATAAAACCTAATTACCTTCCCTCACCACCCCCCAAAAAGACAAAACCAACAAAAATTTCTCTCTCAGTTTATTTTCTACTTAAACATTCCAAAAGAATTTGAAATCTACTGGCATTTTAAGAACTGATAAACAAAAACACTCTTATCAGATCCACATGGGTCACAAACTGTTCCAAGGTACCCTGATGGAACAGTGAGAGTGTCTCAATTTAAGATGACCTAGGTAGTCACTAGCTCACCCACATCTGTGACCTGTGCCATCCTGCACTTTATCGGGCCTGGTTAAGTGGATTGACCAACTATGCTACCAGTTTAACTAGATCAATATTTACAGAATGGAAGAGTAGCTTGAAATGATTCTTGCGAAGAGAGTGCCTTAAAAAATGATACCACTTCAAAAACAAGAAAATGGAAGCCCTGACATTAAACACAGCATTCACCCCCCTCGCAGCAGGCTCCACTTCACACACACAGCCCCTCTTACCTTATGGTAACGTGCCACCAGCTTTCCCTGTGTATCATACACTACGTTGGTGTTGTATTGGTAATAGCCACTAGGAGGGCACGTGGAGTCCCTGGAATTACATGGCTTTTTGTCCCCAATATTCGCCAAGACATAGATAGAGTTGTTCTTGGCCAGGCAGCTGAGTCTTACTTGTACTGGTGTGTGACCAAATCTAAATCAAATTTTAATGAAGACATGTCAATAAGTCAGACAGAGGAAGACAAACACCATATGATCTCACTTATATGTGGAATCTAAAAAAGTCAAACTTGCAGAAACACAAACTAGAATGGCAGTTACCAAGGCCTGGAGTTTGGGGGCTGGGGAGGGTTTGTTCAAGGGTACAAACTTGCAACTAAGAGATAAATGAGTTCCAGAGATTGAATGTATAGCATAGTGATTATAGTCAACAATACTGTATCCTAAACTTCAAAGCACATATAAAACGAGATCTTAATTGTTCTCACACAATAGAGGAATGGCAATTATGTGACATGATAGAGATGCTATTTAGAAGTCACAAATTATACTTAAACTTGAAGTTTTTTCCACATCGTTTCTACTGCTGCAGCAATTCATTATTCACTCTCCTGCATTAACGGTGGTCATCTCTCTACCGGATCATTCCATCAACATGCAAGTATGCTCTAGTACTTCTCATCTTTAAAAAAATTAAAAATAAAAACCTCCCTTGACTCCATATGTCCCTCTAATTTATGCTCCATTCCTCAGGTCCCTTTTAAAGTAAAGCAAAACTTCCTGAAAGAGCTGGCCATCTTGCTATCCTCAGCCCATCCTTTTCCATTCTCTTTTGAAGCACTCAGATCAGGTTTCATCTCTTACCATCCCACCTGATAACTCTTACCAATGCCGATGATGAAATCCGCATCTTGCCTGGTCTCATCCTACTTACCTGCGGCATCCACACAGTTAATTACATCCTCCTCCCAGAAACACTTCACCTTGCTCATTGGACCCCACCCTCTCACTCTCCTCCTCACTGAGTGCTTTTCTTCACCGCCTTTTCAGGTTCCTCCTCATCTCCTCTGAGTGTGAACATTGGAATTTCCTACAGCTCAAGCCTTAAAGCTTTCCTCTTCTCTAACTCACTTCATAGGTAAACTCATCATGGTGTTAAAAAGACCATCTATATGCAGACTCCTGACTTTCTATCTCCAGCTCTGACCTCGCCTTTCATGCCAGACTCGTATATGCAACTGCCAAGGTGATACATCCACTTGGATATCTAAAGGGCAACTCAAACTTCAGATGCACAAAATTGATCCCCTGAGTTCCATCCCAGACTTGCTAGTCCTTCTGCACTCCTGAATCAAAGCAGTACCCTATGTGGCCTTCCCAAGACAGACCACCCCACATCTTCTGCCTGCCTCTTGTTTTAGAAAAGCTTTAGTCTCTTAGGCACTCCCTGAGTCGCAAAAGGCTGGCTCAAGATTTAATGATTATAAGAATGTAAACACATAGCGACAAAAAATAACAGTTGGATCAGGAGAACTTGTAATAATTTAAACAATAGATCAGTCACGTAGCAGAATCACAGAATCTGTTATTCCTCCCTAAACTACATAGATAACAATGTCTGACGTACTCCTGAGTTGTTTTGCAGATACTGACCCACTGACCCCAGATGGAAGAAGTCAACCGCATGATGACCATGAGTACAAGCTCCCAGATCAGGGGGAGCCTGAAGATTGATGATTTAACCCCTGTGACATCACCATGCAACCTCACTGTCAACCAGAGAATTGTGCAACAGCTGGACATATACCCTGTGACACTCTCCCTCACCTTGCCTTAAAAACCCTTCCCTGAAATCCATCAGGGTATTCAAGTCTTTTGAGCATTAGCCACCCATTCTCCTTGCTGAGCCTTATAATAAATGCTACATTTTTCTTCACCACAACCCAGTGTCAGTAGATTGGCTTCACTGCATGTGGGTGAGCAGACCCAAGTTTAGTTCGGTAACACTCCCTATGTCTGTAAATGGCAATTCCATGCCTCCAATTGCTCAAGCTTATAACTTGGGAGTCACTCTTGATGCTTGTCTTTCTCTCATAACCCCAAACATAATCTGGCAACAAATCCTGTCACCTTGACATCTGAACAGATCTATAATCTGGCCACTTCTTACCACCTCCATCTCTTTCATCCTAGTTCTAGTCCTCACCAGCTCTAACCAGGATGATTACAATAGCTTCCTAATGGTCTCCCTGCCTTGCCTTCAAGACCCTACATGATCTATACCACCCCACAACATGGCACCTTCTGACCTTATCTTTCCGTTTCCCTCCCTGGCCAACACACAAAGCCATACTCACTCAAAGCTCCATAATCAACCTAAATAAAAATAAAACAATAGATCAAACACATCATCTCACCCAAGCATCCCTTCCCCCAACTCTTACCCCCAAAGGACATTCTATATAATGAGTGAGTTTGTTTACATCTATCTTCTCCCACTAGAATATTCATAAGCCATGGGGAAGGCAAAAACTTTGTTTTATTAGGTGCTATATCCCATATATTCTTAGTATCTGGCACACAGTCGATGCTCAAAAAAGAATCATTAAATGAATTAAATGTGACTCTACTGGGTGACAATGCAAGCCCATTTTCTGTCCAAATGTGTTCCTTCTAGCTTAGAATTATGAAAGAGGTATTCACTAACCATATAGGATAAACCTCTCCCCTACCCATCGCTAGTTTCCACAGCTACTATGACATTTAACTAACCCATAAATTTGCAACCTTTGTTGTTTTTAACAGGAAATCCAGAACTTAATCTTACTGTGAGATGACAAACAAATGGGTTGTCCCAATTCTCAAAACCTCTAGGTAGAGCAAATGTCCAGCTATTGCCTCTCTTCTGCGCACACACAAAAAAGGTTCTTACAAACATGACTGAAAGCATTAAGCTCAGAACAGGAAGGATCAGAAGATGAAACTGCTGTCTGTCATGTAACCCGATACTCTCCTCCTTGTGTAGTTAGTCTCTCTGGAGCTAAGAAAAGCCATTTTCTGAGAACCCTTATATCAACTTCAAGACACAGAATGAGTGTGAGTGAGAGACTTTTTACTGCAAGTATACAAGTGTGCAATCTATACCTCAATACTTCATCTTAGCAGATGGTAGGATTTATATATTTATACACACACATATATATATACACATATATTTAAATATTTTATATTAGAAAAAGTTTCTAGATTATTTTTTCCCAGGAAAATTAGTTTCATGAGCCTAAGAAAATGTACAGTTTCAAAGCATAAAGTCTCATGATCCACCAGAAAGTACGTTGTGAGGTCTTTCTGCCTGGGACACAGATTCTGGAGCAGAGAGACTCCATGAAATCAAAATATGGTGCCTTCAATAGAGACCTTGGAATATCTTTCAATTACAACCTACTGTTCACTTCAGAAATTAATTTACTACTTATTTCCATCAGATCCTCTTCCCCTTAGTTTCTAATCCTAGTAACAAATGTCTTACTTTAACATTTTCTCTAAATTTCATATTAATTATAAATAATTGTTAAATGGTATCTAAGTGTAATTTTTTAATCTAATGGGTGCCAAGGGATATATAGCAATAACGAGCACCACATGCATGATCATTCAGGATTTATCATTTTGCTGTGGTGAACATGCACATTTTAGAGAATCACAGCACCTTCACACAAACAATTAGGATCCTTAAGATACCTGTTGGGTTGTTGACATGGAATCCAGTTCACCTGAGGGTCTGGGATATACTCAAGATAAGGGAAAATGGTTTCCCTGGTAAATTTCCAGCCATAAATGGCATCTTCAGGAGTCACAATAATTTGAGCTCCCTGTTCAAAACAAGTTAAAACAAAATTATTTCACTGTGTATATTGACAATTCACCACCCCAGTCTTCCACCAGCTTTCATGCCCCTCTCATAAATGATGATGAGCAGAAATAAAAGCATACCTGTTCAGCTGCCTGCTTAACTGCTTTCTCCAGAATATCTATATTTTTGTTCATGAGGAGCAAGGCATCATCCTGAGAAACAGGTGTTTCTGTGTTATTTGGCAAAATGACAGCATGTTCATATACTGCAGCTCTAAAAGTATCCAGAGCACTGACATGCAGAATAATTTGGGCAAAAACTGCCATGGAGACTTGAAAAGAGGAAGTGATCATGGCCAAGGTCAAGTGATTTCTGAAAGTGAAAGCAACATGCATGTAGTATTTCTAGAGAGAGGAACATTTATGTAATATATGACTGCCAGCTCTTATTTTGTAATCTTATAAATATTACACCTGACCACTTTGGAGGGAAAAAAAATTTCAGTTCCATGAATGCAGTTAAATAGTATTACAAGGATTGTACAGCATGTACTATTGATAAGATTCAACATCAAATTTCAAAAAAAAACACACAACTGAAATATAGTACAATTGTACCCTTTTCTTAGTAGACAGAAAATAGCAACTAAATTAACTCTCATGTGAAAAATCAGAATGCAACAAATTTGATTTATTAAATTACAAAAAGTAGGTAATTTTTTTTCCTGTTCTGTTGAATGATCTACATCATGTTTATTTTTAGAAGAGGAGAAAATTTTAAAAATATTTACTGCTAGGAGAATGCACTAAGACAATACTATGAAAAAAATTCACCCAGATCAACCCTTTGACTTACCTGTTAAAGCCTATGAACATACACTCCATAAACACAAGACTTTGTGTCTGGTTGGCACGTTGCTGCATCCTCAGCGCCCAAAGTACCCATATTTCAGATACTGTTCCCTGGTGTTTGGCCAGAGGAGGAATCCCGAACTTCTACTTAGGGGGCCACAGCCCTTAGGGAACTAAGCTTTCTTCCTCCCTCACTCCCTCCCCTTCCCTCCCTGCCTTCCTACTTTCCTTCCTTTCTTTGGAAATAGATGCAAAGGAAGAGGAAGAAATATCTCAGGATAGTGATCATAAAGACCATCTCTGTCATAACCCAGTTAAGGTATAATTTTCATTTTTGTTGGAGGAAAATAACCACATAAATGAGTTGTTTCTTTTTAAAACACATACATTATGTGACGTCTGATAACCTCTTCAGACATCCGTATTCTCCTTTCCCCTGTCCTGATCTTAGCACACGTGGGTTTAGTTTTTTGTTTTTGTTTTTTGTTTTTAATCTAGGTCTCTTGGTAAAGTTTGTTTGAATACTTTTAGACATAGTAGAAGAGTAGAAACAAATAAATAGCATTCTTCAATGTTTTCCCTCATACTGAGATAAAATTCTTGACATGGACGAGGTCTAAGGGCTATAAACAAGGTCTACTCATACTTTCTCACTCCTGATTCTAGAATCTTCCCCTGATACCAAGACATCACACACATTTCTGAGCTCTGGTTCAATGTCTGCACCTAACTGTCAACACTCACTTGCATCTTTTAAGGAACCCAGTGCAAAGTGATCACCTTAAGATCACAGGAGACTCTAAATACTCAATAAATATTTGATTCAACTGATGCCCAGGGAAGACCCTTAAGCTCTTTCATCTCCACAAGTATAACTTGGATTGTGATCTACTTTCTTGCGTTTTAATCTCACCAATTAGTAATACTTCATTATCTCTTTTGCTTGGTAGTTAGGTACCTGGCAACAATGAACTAACAGTCTGGACGTCTGGAGGGTAGGAACAAAAACGATCGGACACTAAGATGTGGAAGTGTCCACTAAGATGCGGACACTTCCACATCTTAGTGTCCCCAAGTTTCCTGGATGTTTTTCTCCCTCTCTGATTATAAACAAGAGAAACAATATTTTGTTTATTAGAGTTTTTCAACTGGAGGGCAAAAGGGGAAATGGCTTCTGTTGTGAAGTCAAAGTCATCAAGTTCCCTTTTTTTTCTCTGTAGCATTTAAAAATTGTCTCACCAAAAAACAGAATGTGAGGAACAAAGATAATTGCATGGAAGACTCGGATGCTAGTAAATGAAATGGCAATTTCAATATGGAAAGATGTGTGAGATATAAAGAAAAAGTAAATGATCTTTATAAATATTTGCCATAGAGGCAGCTAATATTGTTTTAAGTCTTCAGCAGTCAAAGACCAAAATTCAGGACATGGAACTTCAAGCGTTCACATTTTCATGCTCACAAAGGTGACTGATTAAGTAAGCCTTAATTAACTTCTTTAGTTTAACTCAGTTATAAAATAATGGCCACAGGGAACACTGACTAACTGTAATTTACTGCTAATAGGACCTACTTCCTAATTTACCGATTGATGATTAATGGACTGCATTACAGGGGTGAAAAGCTACAATCAACTCAAAATTATTTGGTCAAAGAACCACTATTTAAAAAAAAAACAGACATAGCTCAAATATTTGTTTCTAATTGTGAATCTGCTCATCTCTTAAAATAGTATTCAACCGGGCTTGGTTTTCCAGCTGTAATAAGTAAGAAGAGAGAAATGTAATTTCATGCTTTGCATGTGTCTGTGACCCTCTATTTCTAAAAGTTCAGGCAATCATACCTGCTCTGTCACCTTTGCAGAGTTATTCTGAGAGTGAAAGACACATGAAAGTCCTTTGCAAGATTATGATGGGACGACAATACTTAACAGAAAGGGGAGACAATTTAATAATGTAATCGTCCTGACTGCTTAATATCACTTCATTGTTAAACCCACATCACTACTGTTATTCAGTTAAACAAATCTAGTCTAGTTTGGGGTACTGTGCTGGGGGTGGGGTGGGGAGCACAGCACCTGGGCACCAGCTCCTGGACCACGCCCAGCTGAGCACAGCAGACACACATCTGTGGGGTGGCGGGGGCACTGCAAGAGCACCGAGACCCCAGAAAGGCAAGGAACAGCTCCGGGCTCTGATCCAGGCTGCCGTGCTTCCTGGTCTGGTCCTCCTCCCAGGTACAAAATGACAAGTGATTTGAGAACAAAGAGTTGGAAATAACATGTTTGGTTATTGACAGCATTTCCTCGTGGTAACAAAGATGACGCATCAAAATAAGTAAGCAAAAGTACTTAGTGGTAAAGAACAATATTTCTGTCCCTGTCCTGCTTGGAGTCTTGAATTTGTCTTCAACCAGACTGTTTGGCGGGGAGGGAGGGTATAGCTCAAGTGGCAGAGCACATGCTTAGCTGGCTTTAATTCCTAGTACCTCCATCAAACAAACAAACAAATAAACCTAGTTACTCCCTCCGCACCAAAAAAAATTTGAGAAAGGAAATGGCTGCTTGAGCAGAACCAGCTGAACTTTAAGCATCATTGAGTGCCACGTCCCCATCAGGTGAGGTGCTCCTCTAGCAATGGACTTGAGTGAGTATTCACCTCTTCAAACAGTTCATGCAGCTCAAAAGAGAGAATAATGATTGACCACACCCTGGTGCTCTGGGAATGGACGGAAGGGTTGTGCCATAGGAAGTTGCCAATAGCCACCTGTTTCAGACACCTAGCAAACGCAGTTTCACGTAGTTCAACTACGCTTCTGCTTTCTCCTCTCGGAAGTTGAGGACTGCGGTGTGCTGAGCTGCAGGAGCTCCTTTGAACCGGCAGCAGGCTCCCCTACTGTCTGTTGGCCCCACTTCCTCAAAGGAGAAACAATAACAAGCTGTCTTCTGGATTTCACTTGCAAATCTTTAACTTTAGCTCTGATCTAACTCTGCCAAAGGTTCTTTGACTTCGCCAACAGAAACATATAGAAAAGTCTCTTGGTGACTGGATGTTTGGGTCCCCCTGCCAAATCCCCAATGTGATCATATTGGGAGGTGGAGCCTTTGAGAAGGGATTAGATCATGAGGGCCAAGCTCTCATCAGTTTGATTCCTGTCCTTATAAAGGAGACCCCAGAGAGCCACCACACCTTCCCCCATGTGAGGACACAGTGAGGGAACCACGAAGTGGGTCCTACCCGATCAGAATCTGTCAGCCCCTCGATCTTGGACTTCCCAGCCTTCAGAACCATGAGAAAGACATTTCTGTTGCTTTTAAGCCACCTGGTTTGTAGTATTCTGTTGTAGCAGCTTGAACTGACTAAGACAGGTGGATTCCAAGCTTTTGGTAAGGTCAGGACGACTGCCACAACTGACCGAAACCCACAGGAGCTGGGTCAAAGTCATCTGTTGATTTATGTCGGAAGCTGTAGAAACCTGCACTTGAAAGGGTATGATACAAAACTAAAGCTGAAATCTCAGGTACTTAACTGGGAAAAAAAAAATGAAAAGAAAGGTTAAAAGTAGATCATCAAGCTGTGGTCCGTTTATTGTTTTTGTCGAGCAACATGAGGGCATCACAATAATTCACCTTGTTCACCGTGAGTGGGGATGTGGGAAAGCATGTCTGAGAGCTGAGATGACTGCTTGCGGATTCACTCTGGGGGAAGCCCTCCACTTGCCTGGAGCCTGCCTGCTTCCTTCTCTCCATGGCCTGTGGCTCCTTCAGTCACTCTGGACTTTCTTTTTCTTTTCTTTTTAAAAATTTTAAGGTTGTTTTTCCCCAAGCATAAATTTTTGTTTTTATTTGCTTTTGCATTTTGTTTGGAGCAGGGGAGGTAATTAGGTTTATTTATTTATTTTGATGGAGGTCCTGCAGATTGAACCCAGGACCTTGTGCCTGCTAAGCACATGCTCTACCACTGAGCTATATCCTTTCCTCATACCCCTTACTTTGTTTTGGTTTTCTTACTGGGTGGGCATTAGCTGGCCAGAGGCTTCTGACCCCTTAAGCATCAGGAAAGGGAGTATTTTATCCAAGACTGGGAATTCTGATTTCTGGGCATTCATGGAGGCCAGGTCACCCAGACCAGATGCAATCACACAGTTTCTACTGAACAAGGACCAAATGGCTAGGAGATGTAACACAGCAATAGAAGCTGGACATCTTCTAGCCCTCGAGGCCTAAGGGGACTCAAGTTTATGTCATATTCTTTCTTTTTAGCACAGGATTCCACTGTAATACATATTCACTCTAGAACTTTCCTCCAGTTAGAGACACCTAAACTCTGTATCGGCATGCATTTAATTATTGTTTGCTTATATGGCATAATTTTTTTCCCGCTGTAATGATAAGAGTCACAATGGTACCATTAATGGTTAAGGATATGGTCCCTGAGGCCAGAAGAACCCCTGGCTGTGAACCACTTCCTGGTGTGTGACCATGAGCAAGTTGTATGTCCTCTCTGGGCCACAGTTTCCCTCACCTGCAAAACGGTGATTATATATGCTGAACAGTCTTTGCTGTGACTATTACTATCTCATGCCCACAAGATGGAAGCCATATTGTGAGGGTGATGCCCAGTGCAGATGTGACCCAGGTCTTTAAATCTCTCTGGTCAGATCCTCACCTGTTCTTGGCCACCAACTTTTAAAAGAATGTCCATTAGCCTACATGCTCTGTTTTCTTAATGTTCTGGCGCTTTCCACAAAGTCTTTCATGTTTCCTCTCTTCTATGTCAATCTGACCTGAATGGCTTCTCCTGGAATTATTAACTTCGGGTCCCTTTCTACCAGCCAACCTTGATGGTTCTTCCTCCAATAGTACCCCAGACTCACCCTCTGATCAATAGCTCTCCATGTTTCAGACATCATTCTGTTTTCTCAACCTCACACACACACACACAAAAAACTTACCGAGAAACTGGATTACTGATACGTTGCTGCTGGGAAAGTTGTGAAATGGTACAGCCAGCCACTCTGGAAAAGAGCTTGGGAGTTTCCTTAAAAACTAATCATAGCCCCGCCTCTCCTGAGTTGGAGGGCAGGGTCACATTACCTCCTACAACCTCTCATTTCCTGTTCCGGAAGAGGACACTTAATATTCGTGAAGAATTTAGAGGCCCCAGTGTGAGAAGAATTTCTTTATGAGCTGCTGCTTCAGTTTCTCATAGGCTGAGCCATTAACCAAAGTGACTGTATGCAAAGACAGAGAAGAAGAGCTGAAGTCTGTGTGTGTCTGCTTTGACCACCCAGAATCTGAGTCTTGGGATTTACTAAGCAGAATTCACTTATAGGGAAGATTAACACATTCGCAGTATCTGCTTGGGCTTCTTGCTCTTCTGATTCAGCTGACCAAAGTCCTGAGAGCTGCATTAAGACAAATTCACCAGCTACAGGAATGAAGAAGTGTGGGCAGAGCTTCCTTTCCTGTGCTGATGTTTCCAATTAATAATGCTATTTTGCCTCGAGAATATTTCTTTCAGAGCGTTTGCAGTGGCACGCATAGAATTAAATCCGGCAGCTCCCTTAGTATCTGATGACAGTACCACTTCTTCACGTACATCCCTGTCCTCATACTCTTTGTGTTTCAGATCTAGAGGCTGAATGCAGCCCTGAGAAATGAACACATCAACAACCAGGTATCTCTGATTGTTTCTGGATAAGTAAATGAAAGAGGCAAAAGCAAACCAGGAACAGTGAGAGTAGAACAGAAAACAACAGAGGAATTGAATATGACCATTCATTTCACTTAAGTTCTGAGAGTGTAAGAAGTAAAAGTACTAGTATTACGCTTGTAAAATATTGGTAAACAGAAACCTCAATTAAACAGAATTGGGGAACCAGAAGGGGAAGCTCTCAGGTCCTACAACGGCAGCAGAGCCCAACAGGAAAAAGAAAGATCCACCTTCTTTCCTGGTAAGGACTCAGCTAAGGGAAAGCCCTAGGCTCTTTGTTTACCAGGTCCCTCCCAACTTCCTTCTCCCATCAAAAAAGCGCTCCTTCCCTTGCTGTGCACATGGCTCGCCACGGCTCCATACCCTGAATTGCTATCTCTGTTGATTCTGAATCTTTGCTGAATATCTGGTGGGCTATTTGTTTCAGGTTAACATGTTCAAATGAAATATTTACCTACACTGGTTTTAATTCCTTTAAAAGAAAAAAACCCTATTCAAATTCATCCAGCAACTGATTTCATGGCTGTCATTTTTGAAATGTATGATAATGTGACTTCACTGATTTGGCATTCAAATTTATCCTGGATGACAAAAACTTCAAAATGATAATAATGTACTACTTTCTGTATTTATCATGCTATTATTGACCATTTGTCAACAAGAAGTGCATTTTGAGTTATTTTAGTACTGATAATGCAATTACAATAAACTATAAATCAGAATTTACTACTGAACATCATGCTTTCTAGACTATCACCTATAAATGAAGCAGGATTGGAAGTGGGACTGTGGATTTTCTGAAAGAAACTAGTGCAAATATTTCAAGAGTTGCAAGTTATTACTAAGAGAACATTGAATAAGTAGGCTTTAGTTTCATTTGTTAATACTTTAGATACATTTTAGTTGTTCTGTCTAAATATGTTGTTTCTGAATGTTACTTTCCTGTGAGCTTATTTCATAAATTGAGGGCATATGATAGTGATATCAAAGGAAAGATAACTATCTTAACAAATCTTTGGATTGTTCTGTTCTGATATGACTGTATATAAATAAAAGAAAGCTGTTTCTTTACTTCTCATTAATTAGTTGTATTTAATGAAAATTAGTTGGCTAAGTCAGCATTTGTTACCCACTTCTTTTGCCAGCTATATTAGTAAGGGTATATTATGATCCTGTACTGTAAGTGTTGCAAGATGTTACCACTGGCGGAACCTAGGTGAAAAGTACAGATGATCTCTGTGTATTATTTTTACAACTGTGTGTGAATCAACAATTATCTCATGGAGGGAAGGGTATAGCTTAGTGGTAGAGTGTGCACTCAAAATGCACAAGGTCCTGGGTTCAATCCCCAGCACCTCCATTTAAATAAATAAATAAACCCAATTGCTCCTCCTCCAAACTAAAATAAAAAGTAAAAAAATTAAATTTTTTAAAAAGTATCAAAAATTGTTTAAGTTTTAATTGAAAAAAGATTTACGATTTTTTATTTGTCCTTTTAATTTGTCCTTTGGATTAATCTGTATATCATGTGTATAGGTTGCCATGTTTTATGTAACATAAAAGATACCTTTTTATTTATTATATTCTACAGTCAGTCTCATTTTTTAAAAAGTTCTTTTAAGCGGGGCATCTTTGTTACATTTAGAAGAATATAAATATATAAAAATATAAATAGAGATTTCCTTTGACAGTTTTGACATGCCTTTTGGTTTCATTGTTCAAAGTTCCTCTATCCTTTCTCATAGTTTTAACTTTTTTTTGTCATTTAATACTTCAAAATTATAAAATGAGGAAGGGACAAAGTTGGTTTTGTACAAAGCGTCTTTATATACACTGGTATGCACAGCACGTGTTGACAGCGGGGTGTTGGGAGCGGGACTAAAAGGTTCTCTCGCCAGAAAGCCTGGAATCTGCGTCGACCTTGAACTATTTTCAACAGTCAGCGGCGCTGGTAACGGTAATGGGCTGACAATCCTGAGTGATGCTCAATCCTGAGCGGGACGGTGCGAGCCCGGGCGCAGCAGCCGGGCTGTGAGCCGTCGGCCGATCCCTGTGGTGGTTTCCTAGCGGCCCCACGTGGCAGACGTGGGAACTGCAGAAGTGGGCTCCTCGGCCAGCGGGCGTAAGAGTAGCGGCCCCGCAGAAGCCTGCAGCCTGAGCCGGGCGAAGGAAAGCACTGGAGAGGCGCCAGGGCGATTTAACCGCCGCAATCCAGGCCTGGCCCTTTCTGCACTGCACAGGAGTGCAGTGGGCAGGGGTCACACTCCATCCTGGGGCCGCTCTGGCAAGCAGGGGAGTGATGGGCCATTCTGCTTGGCGCACACTGGACCATCCTCTGGAAGTCTCATGGCGAAGGGACCTGAGGGAGGGGGCGAATGAAGAGTTCATGGGATTTGTGAATATTCAATTTTGGTAATTAATGCTAAGCAGTCTTCTGAAACGGCCAGTAGGTCCAGCTGCTGTCCGTCTTCTGCAGCCTATTGTGATCCTTTCCTTTTTTCTTTTTCCCCCTTCTGGCAGTGTGAAAGGGCATCCCATCATGGTTTAATTTGCCCTTCAGGATCTGTGTGGTGGATCTATTCTTCCCCATCTCACTAAGAAGTACTGAAGGAGGATTAATAAAATGGCCACACTTAGGCTAACAGATTGCTTATCTTATACTTGCCCTTAAAACGGTCAACTGACCTGACTGACAGGTTGCTACTCACAGTTCCAGGCCCCTTGTTAAAACTAAAGCTATTAATCTTACTGTTTCTACTTTATTCCAGTAATCAAAAGCTATAATCATGCTTGGTCTCTGAGTTGATCTCCAGGGAGAAGGTCACAGGTCTTTAACCTTACAAAGTAAGCTAAGTACCAAGAAGACCACACTTTGAGTGCTTACAAGATAGAGATCTAACTGCTAGCCTCTAGAGAACTGGTCGCCGGGAGGCATCGTGACGCCATTCTGTCTTCTGATGAGAAAATGATTGTTGCTTGTTATTGATGATTTACTGTTTGCGCTATGGCTATATAACCACCCCACCCCATCCCCAGGGTGGGCTCACAGTTTTGAAGGCACTAGCCTGCTGAGAGTCCCCTTTGCCTGGCAAAGTAATAAAACTCCCTCTTTTCTTCTAAACTCCAAGACCTTGTCTCTGGGTTATTTGGCTCGTCAGGGACAGGGGCAGATCTTTCAGCAACAGTACCTCCGTACACCCACACCCTCAAGCCAAAACCTAGCAGTCACCCTAATCCTCTCTCCTTCTCCCTCCACATCAGCAAGTCCTGCTGGTTCCACTTCCAAACACATCCTTTTCTCTCCACTTCCATTACCATCTCCCCGGTCCAACCTGTTAATGTCTCTCCCAGAGCTTCCAAAGACCTCCCTCCTACCCTTCTAACCCACATGCCTTACACACCTTTGACACGCAAACACAGTGGCCTTCCTGAGACAGGAATCAAATTCTGTCATCCTCCAATCAAAAGCTAGTTCCTCCCCACCTCCCCAAACTCCTCGGTTTACTGGACTCCAGCCCTGTGGGCCACGGTCTCCTCCTTGACCTTCTGCACATGCTGGGGATGGCTCTCCCCTCAGAATGGCTGCCGCAATCTCCTCCTTCAGATCTCAGTTCAAAACCCACCTCCATGGATACATCTTATCTAAATAAGGATCCCCACACCTAGTCACCTCCAGCCAATTACTCTTTCACATCACCAGGTTTTTTTTTTCTTCCCTCCATAGCATCTCTGTATGATAATTAGAGATTCTGGTATTTATTTATTGTGTGTCCCTTCCACTGGACTATTATCTCCATAAGGGAGAGACTGTGTCTATGATGATCACAGCTAAATCCCTAAACCAAGCACAGTGTCAGTTCAGAGAAGGCATTCAACAAATATTTTCAAATAAATAAGTAAGTAAACCATTTCTTCTACTAAAAAAATAGTGGATATAAGTAGCTACTACACCATGAAGGTGGATTGGGAGCTATGAGAGTTGTACAGCAGAGATTCACTCACCAAACAACAACATGGATTTTACATGAAGTCAGAGGGCTCTCTTCCCTAACATAGAACAAGCATTTCTGTGGGCTCACTTGCTCTGGGAATGAGATACATCAACCAGGAGTATTAAATATATATATATATGTATATATACATATATATATATAATTAGAACTAAAACAAAGACATTAAGGGAAATGAATAACATTATACCAAGCATTATTTCTAAACCAGATCATAATTCAAAGTATGTTATAAAACTGAAAGTGTTAAGTAATACTATTCTAGTATCTTTCACACAAACAAAAGTTTTAGAAGAGCTGAGGGCCAAGGTATGCTATAGAGTTTTATATAGTAGGCTGGAATTTTGCCTTTTGAACAAAAAGCAAAAATCTCAGGACACAGAGAAGGCAAATTTTGTAAAACTGATTTCACAGTCATTTTTCTGTATATTTTGAGTTATCTTTATATTATTGTTAAGCATATCAAATCAATTCATTTCCTTCCCTGTTAATAAAAAAGGTACATTCACAGAATCAGTGCACTTAGAACAAAAAGTAAACACAGAAAACAGGAGACCTAGAGTCAGTAAAATCTTCAAGGCCAAGTCTGGTCACTGAAACCTACAAACTTTCACTGATTTCCAATAACTCTTCTCATACTGAAGGTTTCAAATGCGGCTGGTTCAGCAGGCCAGTTTTTCAGGACAATAGTAAGTGCAGCCCAACACAGGATCATCCAAAACTATGTTAACACTTCCAGGATGCTGGTGTGTGGCCCATGGAGTTGTGTGTGTCAAAGTAAGAAAACCCTTCCAACTCTGAAGTCCAAGGCCAACAGCATCCATCTCCCAGCCCTGTAACAGTCAGGACTCCTCAGGTCACATTTCCCCAGGTAAGAGAGCGGTCCGTTCCTCCTCTATGCTGAGGATATTTTGAAGTTTAGATCTACATTGAAAGAAGAAGAAGACGACCTCAATATTTATCACCTTAAAAAAAAAAACAAAAAAACTCAATACCTACATCTCTACCCAACTAATTCTGTAAATGTGTCTACCAAATGATGAGGTTCAGGGTACCCAGAAATCTCCTGACTGGAAAATGGATATAAAATCACGTTTCTTTCCCACTTCTACAAGCCAACTTTTAAAGGGAGAAAAAAAAAAGCTTAAGAATTGACCTCACCTCCTCCTTCTCCGTGAGTGCTCCAACAGGTAAAACAAGCCCAGCACTAGTCCCTTTAACACAATTAAAGGCACTGGTTAATGTCAGTTATCCAAGCCACGCTTCTCCATAAACATAAGGAAAATGAAAGTAAGAGACTCATTACTCACACTTGTTAGAGCCCAGAGACCTTGTAGAGTGGCTGCCCATTCAAAGCCTAGTTTCTCATACAGAAACCCCCCCAGCGTTGGTCCTATGAAATCACTAACAATGAAAAGAAGAAAGATGATTAAATAGTGCAAAAAAGAAGACTTACTTCTTACCGGCGGCATGACCCCTTCAATTCATTATATTGAAACCATAAATACTAAAGAAAAAAGCTCATTCCTGGAAAGAGCATTAGGTATAAGAAAATATTTTACCTGATAATGATGATGTTTAAATTTTTTAAGCAATTCTAAAATTATAACTGCTTTTGAAAAGTTGGTGCCTTACATGAAAATAAAAAAAGATGACATGTATTCAAAAGAATCTTTATATTATTCTCTCCACCCTTCTCTGTATTTGTCTTTAAAATAACTCAGTACATATTTATCAATGATACCTACATGGCCAGCATACAGTTATCCCTCTGGCTTAGTACATAGTAAAAATAAATACACAAATACATGAATAAATGAATATATTTTCAAAACTGAGACATGCTCCTGTTAAAGGAACTTTAAAATATCACTTAAATAAGACAAAGTATATGATATCACTTTGATTAGGTATTAAAACTTATGGTATAACCACTGATGTTGAAGTCAGAGGTGCGGGTTAGAAATACAGATCTGCCCTAAAGGAACTATGTGCCTTCCGGCAAGTCATCTGACTCCTCAATGCCTGAACTTCTCCATCTGTAAAAAGGGGGTACTATTTTCCAGCTTGCAGCTGTGAATGAAATAGAATAGCTACTCACCCAACAGACCACACTGCACCAAAGAGACCTGACACAAGTCCCATGGTACTTAATCCTTCTTCAAACCCATTTTCACTGCAAAGAAAGACAAGAGTCTATCTGTGGTTAAAAGGGAAACCTGCATGGAACAAAAGAGCAGTATATGACAGATAAACTAAAAAACCAGGGATAATCTGGACAAACCCAACAGCAAGAACACTCCATTTCTGAAATAAGAAGCTATTCTAATTGGAAGACATTCTCATGGTTATGTTTACTTCATGGTTTGGTTTTGTTTTCTTTTTTAATGGACGTTCTGGGGACTGAACCCAGTACCTTGTGCATGCTAAACATATGCTCTACCACTGAGCTAACTACACCCCCACCTGCCCTACTCCACGGTTTTCTAAAAATACTTTATTACATATATAGAATATGATATTAAGAATCATGACTTGCTTACATTAAATGTTTATAAAAGGATATAATTAACTGAGAATTTCTTAAGATGAGATGAATGTGTAAAGAGAACAATGGGCAAGTTTTAGAAAATATAGTGGCAGCTCCTTACTGCTATGAGAACTGTTGAATTGACAACAGGAGAGCCATCCACACTCTCCTTGCTCAAATTCATTTTGTGCTCTTCAGCACCATGCCTACTAAGCTAACAAATGATGGCCAAGTGATGAACATCTGGTGTGACACTCTGATTTATAATAAAAAATATATATTTAGTCTTTGATCCATTTCTGACACAGAGGTCTTAAAACTCATGGAATTTCCTAAGTGATGAAAGTGATAAAAAGTTTCTTTTTTTATGTTATGAGGTGACTTTTGGACCTAAGGATGGGGCTGGTTGCCAGAACCAACATGTGATTAGAGGGTTGGAACTTTCAGTCCCAGGCACCCCTTACCCCCCACTTCTGGGGAGGGCAGAGGGGCAGACATGGAATCACTTGCCAATGGCCAATGATTTCATGAATCATGCCTATGTAATGAAGACTCCATAAAAACAAACAAAAAAAAACAAGTTCTGGGCCCCAAACTCCACAAGGACAGAAGCTCCTTTGTTTGGGACTCACTGCCCTATGGACCTTTGTCATCTGGCTGTTGACTCATATCCTTTAATATCCTTCACAATAAATGAGTAATCTAGTGAGTAAACTGGTTTCCTGAGCTCTGTGAGCCACTCTAGTAAATGAATGGAACCCAAGGAGATGGTTGTGGGAACCTCAGATTTATAGCCAGTCGGTCAGAAGCATAGGCTACAACCCACACTTGAACTAGCATCTGAAGTGGAGGGCAATCTTGTAGGATTGAGCCCTTAACCTGTGGGATCTGACGCTATCTTGGGGTAAACGGTGTCAGAATTAGTTGAGTTGGAGGACACCCAGCTGGTTTCAGAGAATTGCTTGGGGGTGTGGGGTTTTGGGGAAAACCCCACACATTGGAACTGGTGCTGGAATCATCCTACCTGGTCACTCTGTGCCCCTGTATGGACCTCCTCCATGAGAGGGGAACAATGCTGAGGCCTTTCCACTGTGCTCTGGCTTTTTAAAAGTATATCTGTACCAAGGTCTAAACCAAGCCAAGCCTCTATCCACAACCCTTTTTAACCTATCACTGTATTAATATTACTATATATTATCATTCATATTATATTTTTGCTTATCCTATTTATGTCACAATATTGTGTGACATGAAATCATGAAGATTTATTAGTATAAAAAATATCCAATATCCTACAAAACTGAGAGATTCAAGAAAGCTTGTGATGTTTACTGCTACTCACAATACAGCTCTTCAAGCAACGGAAGTTACTTACTATGCGCAACTGAGAACCTCCAGGAAAGTTGGGATTGAACTCATTCCAACAGAGATGCCATTTATGACTAATATCAGCACGAGCAGCCAGAGCTGACTGCAAAAGAGTTTTGGAAGAAAAGCAGATTAACATGTAAAGAAGGCAACAAAGCTTCATGCCAAGGAGGGCAGGGAGGATCCCACAGATGTTAGTTTCACAGATTCCATGACTAAGTCTGGTACTTGTTCCCATCTGACCCCATTTCATTCAGTGACAGCACCTTTGAGATCCTTACATTTTGAGGAGGTGAAACATCAATTCATCCTGCTATCCCAGTGTCTTTGGTCACACATGTCACTTGCCTAGACTCAACCTGCCTTATCACCATATAAAATCCTTTCTGAATTGGTTAAAATGTTAATATTAATGTTGCTCCTTCAATCACTTGGCTTTGAAAGTCCATTGACTGAAAAATGGCACCGAAGGAAAGTGGTAAAGAAAGTGTCAGGAAATTACGATTTGTTCCATGTCAGTTACTTACTATCCATTACCCTGTTTACTCTTTGCAGCAGCCTTGCCACATAAGTCCATTAAAAATGATTAAAGAAGACAATTTAGGTGATACAAATACTTTCGGAAGTGGACGGTCTCCTTTTGGAGAACTGTAAAATAGGATGGAAACCAGGAAGCTTTTATAGGATAAAGAATATAGAACACGGAAGAGAAAAATAGAAAATATCTGATTGGCTGGGACCACACAGTCCACCTTGTTTGGGGTGAGAAGGCCCAGAGTTGGCTTGGCGTCTGGGGATGACTGGCTGGCTGGATAGGCTGCTTTTCTGGTCAAGAGGAGCACTGACAGGGACGTGAAGGTTTTCTAAGTTTTGATTTGCTGACATGGTCCTCGCCTGCTAAAGAGTGGCTCCATCTTGAGCCTAGAAAGAGGGATTATTTCAACAGTTCTATTGGTGGCTCTTTTATGTGGATAAGGAAACTGAGGCTCTTGGGATTTAAGTGATTTGCCCAAGTCCACATACCAAGTAAGTGGTAAAGCCAGAATGCAAACCCAAAGCTGAAGGACCTTGAAATCCTTGCTTTTCCCATATCATGCTTTGTCCCAGAGGTACCTAAAAATCTCTTAAGTAGCTCACTTTATTTTAGCAAATAAATTGTAACAAGCTTTAGTAAGCAGTTACGATATGCTCAGGAAGATGCAGAAACAAAAAAGGTCTGGTCTTCACCTCAAGGAGCAAGAAGTAGAAAAAGCAAAAGTATATTCTAAGAACTATTAGCTAAAGCTAGGTAACAACAAATGCTATTTTTAAAATAAAGTACAAATGTGCATTTGAAACACAAAGGGAGAATAAGCATTTTTCTTGTCTGAAACAGATTTTAGGAATCCCTGTTTGCTTATACCACTGACAGTATCTAGTAATACTGTCTGACAAACAATTCAGTATAGTCCTAACTGCGGTAGTTATTTAAATAATAAGATACAAAAATCCTAAGTATTCCAGTGTTACACCAAAAATTTTTTGAAATAATTCTTAATGCTATTTGGCCACAAATACAAAAGAAGAAAAAAAGTTACCTCTTAATGTGCAAGACTGGGGCAGGTCCTAAGAGCATGTAGCATCCTGCTGTGATTAAGCTTCCAAAAACCAGAAGCCACTTCCTTAGACGCTGGTAAAGAAAGTCCAAAGAAACTCTCAGAGGTAAAGATCTTCCATAATCCAGGTACACAGAGAAATCATTGAAGAACACAAGTCATGATATTCAAAAATCCAAATACAGTGAAGAAAACAAAACTTTACATGTACAACAGGTAGATGGTAAACACAAAAGCAAGGACAATATACCCAAGGCAGGGAGTGAGGAAAGGACAAGTTTTCCTTGGAAAGGGAGTGTAGCACAGATTTTGCACAGGATGAACTATTTCAAATATAACACACTTAAAAAGCAGTCACTGCAAGAAACAATCAAGTAGACGCAATAACTAGAAAATTCACATTATTAACAAATACCAAATAAAATGTTCCTTATAAACTACTCAGATGCAGGCTAAAATTACAGGGGTACAGTATGTGTTCAGGTATATAACACTATGTCTTAAAACTAAGCTCCAAACACTGTTTAAGACACTTGCTTTTTGTCACCTGGATGACTAGGTAATCTCCACGTAATAGGCCTTCCTAAACGTACACACGAATCTAATGAAGAGGGGAAATACAAAAATAAGCACTAAAGCCGGAGAAGCCTGAGACTTTGCTGACAGGACTAGTTCTGTACGGAACGGTTTAGCCCGAGTTAAAGGAGAATAGAGGCATTTTCCATCAGGAAGGCCGTGGGATAACCGATGCCACCGATGTACATGGCCAATCCTGTCCTTCCCACAGAAACACTGAATTATATCCTCTCAACCTGGTCAAGTCCTAACTACCTCTGAGCTCTGCCCTAATTATTAAGGTCAATCCACTTTTTTTGCATCAAGGGAGCCTTTTCCTTTAGAAAGTCTAATCCAAGCGTTTTTCAATAGTTTTAGTACAAGACCCCTTTTCCCAGATGAAGTAATTAAAAAGTGAATCTGTTCAGGGTGATGGCAGGTGGGAAGATACTGACACTTCATGCTGGTCCCTCTCCATCAGCTCAAAAAATTGAATATATTAGAATTGAAATGTTCTTACCTACCCTTCCCCCCGCAAAAAGAAGATAACTGTGGTGATGGATGTGTTAACTAGATGGCGGAAATCCTTCCACAGTGTGTACAACACCAAGTCACCATGTTGTACTTTAAGTATCTCATAATTTTATTTGTCAGTTAGACCTCAATAAAGATAAAAATTTCTCGATTGAGTATGTTAATTCTAATCAGTGGACCTCTAGATTTCCAGAAGTACATTTTGAAAACCACCAGTCTAAACATACAAAAGTAATCCTTAAATATCAATGAAGTGTACCTACCGGCACTTTATCACTGAGTAGGCCCACCAGTGGTGAAGAGATGGCATAGGACAGCGCCAAACCCAGGAATACCAGTCCCACATATCCAGCTGGTAGATTAAACTGTAAAAGAAATCCTGTATTAAAGGTACATGGCTAAGTCATTTGAAAAATAAGTATCTATCTTTTCTGTCTACCATTTCTTCAGCTTTTAATATCTACCACGAGTCTACCACTAACATCCAGCATCCTTCCTAAATTTGTCTTACTCTTATAAATGTATTACTTTTTCTCTATGAGGGAAAAAAAATCTAACCAGAGGTCAGAAGTCCTAGATTTTTTGCTTTGTAGTGTTTGACATTAAACATAGTATTATCATCCTTCTATGAATCATAGCATTTTCACAAGTAAAGTGATGCTCTGCAAACGTTAGGATGCACAAAAATTACCTGGAGAACATGTTAAAAGAGGGTCTTAGACCTTAGCCCTAGAATTTCTGATTCAAAAAGTCTGGGGTAGGGCCTGAGAATCTGCATTTCTGAGAAGCACCCCTAGGTGATGCTGACAGTCCACAGACTGAAGTGCACTGGTGTAAAAAATACTGACAGTAATATCTCTTCCATCCATCTCTAAGGGATATTAATATCGAATTAAAGAGTTAGATGATAAGGCATATTTTTAAAGGCTTTCAAAACAGTAAGCTACCACACAATTCTGCTACTGTTACCATTACCAACATGATATAAACGCCTTTCTTGGTTATCTGAGTTGCTTCCATTTTCCTTAATTTCTTTAACTAATCCTTAATTAAACTCATGAGATCTATTTATGAGTCAGTACATATTTTTTTTCAGTATATGTTTTAATAATTTTTATGACATAACTCAAGCTAAAAATTAGCCCTTTAACAATAGTAGCAAGATACGAAAGTCAGAAATGTCCTTTTCTGAATTTACAACTCTGGGGAGACGGTGGACCTCTTCCTACAGTAAAAGGCTGGGTGACCAATGACTGGACAGCAAATAGCCAATTCAAAAAACTGGTAAGAAGGCAGAAAGGCAACAGGAAAAAAAATGCAATAGAAAAAACATGAAAAATCTTGAGAGATTTTTTATAAGGCAGACATGAACAACTTGGGTTTATGAGAAATTGATTATGAGTTTTTTGCAGTGTCAGAACACAACTTCTTAAAAAGACAGAAAAATGACTCTTAAAGAGACATTGCTGATAATGTGAATGGAATGTATCACCGTAAACCCAAAATATTTTTCTTATGCATCACCTCATATTTGCTCACTGCCTCAGTGTGATATTATATTATCCTTCAAACCTTGGGCCAGACACTAAAATTACAGTCCCCAAATTTATCTGTGAAATACCAAAAACTGTCTTTAGCGACTTGAAGGGGTTGTGTTTCTGTGCTTTATTCATTCTAGTGCCTCAGCTAAAGTCAGTACGGGCTGCAGTGAGTAGGTTTCAGTCTTTACAGACATGGATTCATTCTCCAGTGTAATAACTACCAGACTTGGTAATATACTTTATTGCATTATTAATCATCTTTTTTCAAAACTATCTGAGAACAAATTTCTATGACATCAAACTTTTAGAATTCAGTATTTATTTTTCAGCCCTAAAAACCAGGAGAGACTCTCGGTTCCTTACTTCCATCTCAGAGTAACATAGCCCAGTCTTTAGAACATAGGCAGCAGCCTAAAAGGTAAGTGGACCCAGAGGGGATGTTAGAGAAGGACACCTCTCATTAAATGAGCCACAAAGAACCCCGAATGCCTCACTGGATTCGAAACAGAGGAAGTGTCTTTCCTGACTCGAGCGAGGTCTTCTGGGAAAAAAGGAGACCAGATGAAAGGCTTCTTTCATTTACACTAAATCAGACCTCTAGTTACAGAGATGGCACACAGGGAAGGTACAGGCTGCCTTGGTGTGTAGTTCTCATTCTGCCTCCTTCCTGCAGCCACTCACCACCTCCCACTAAGCAGGGCCCGAGGGCAAACAATTACGTGCACCTGCTACAATGCAGAGGCCTTCAACACCAGGCTACTCACCTTCTCCAAAACAAAGAGAGACAGCGTAGGATCAAGGAAGCCAAAACAGGAGCTGAGTGAGGTGATGACGAAGGATATTAGGGCAACCTTGGGTAAAGTGATGAGTTTCCAGAATGAGTGTTTCCCTGGATCAGACTCTTCGGGGAAAAAATTAAAAAGGAAATTAAGAGTGACAAAAATTGCTTAACTTTACTTTTCCACCTATTTTGAAAAGCAAAATTGGTAAGGTCATCTTTATCTGGTAATCCAAATAACTGCATCTCTGAGTTTGCCTAAATTGCATATTATCTATATTTGCAAAAGAAGTTATTCAAACCCACATGCCATGTTCAGTTTTTTTAAAAAATAATTTCTCAAACTCAGAAAGAATCAACTAGAATCAGAGTGTGAGGAGAAAAAGGGGGCTGAGGCTATAGGTCGTACCCTAGAAGTCAGTGAGGCCTTCCCCGAATGGGGCAGAAAACATGGAAAGTTTGATCTGGTGCGTGGGAAAAGCCAGAAGCTTTATCAGAGAACAATCTGTGTGTGCTGAGGAATCTGAGTTAAGCAAAGAACACAGGACAATTTTTTTTTCTGCTGGCAAAGGAAACACTGGATTGAAAGGGATGCTAGTGAATCATGTGTAAACTTCATCTGGTGTTCAAGGTCAGCTGAGCGCCAACCTGACTTCCCACCATTCCCCCAACAGCAACACAACTTCTTCACTGTCCCAAGCACCAGGCATGGTTGTTTCCAAGCCTCCAGTCATATCCTATAACTCCTTTCTTTTTCCTCTGCTAATTTTTCAGGTTCTATTCACTCTGTAAAGTCTGGTTCTTACCTTAATTATTCCACAAAGGTTACCTCTGTTTCCAACTGCACTTCTAATCTATGCCATGTAATTTAGCACCTAAACTATATTCCATTTTGCATTGTTTACTATTGTTTGATGACTTTTCTATCTTCCAATTAATTTATGAACCTTTGCTGAGTCAGGCAGCACGCAAAATGCTGGGCAGACAAAAAGCAAAGAAGATAAACCCAGACCCTGTCTTCACAGAGAGGCGATATTCAGGCGTGGAGAGAGCCAGGACGGAGCTGGGAGGGCACCTGTCGGAGCATATAAGAGCGGTGCCTTAAAACACAGGGAAAGCTGGATAGGAAAGTATTTCCAAAGGTAGTCATATCTAACTTGGTGTCCAAAGGGTGAGCTTGAGATAAGCAAGCAAAGAAGGAGGAAAGAATAATCCAGGCACATTATCCAGGAATGGCTCATTCAAGACTCAGAAGTGAAGAGAAACTGTTCTGTTTGAGGAAATGAAAGAACTGGAGGAAAGCAAAGGTGGAGGATGGAGAGTGGAGTAGAAGACACCGGTGTAGTGAAGAGAGAAGACACTCCAGAAGAATGTAGTGATGAGATTATGCAGGACTTCATAAAATATACTAAGAAGCCCGAGAAATAACTAATTATTTTAAACCTGAAGTGGGAAAGGGAATTGCCACAATAAGAACATATATAAAATGAACACATAACGAGTTAAATTGTTGAAATAATGAAAACTTAAGAGTGATATCTGCTTCAAGAGACACATGGCAAATCACCTAGGGAGCCTTTCCAAGCTACTCAGGCACTCTCTCTGCTACCCCCAATTCTGGTACATTCTCCTTGCAGGGACATGACTTCGAGGCTGACAACGCCTGCCACACAGAGGCTGTTAAAGTCAGGGAAGGGGAGCACCCCTCAGGTGTGAAGGGGCAGGAAAAACGCTGAGCACTGCAGTACTCCTTATTCAGCATTTAGATTAATGATTGAGAAGGTTCAGAAAAACTTCCCAGAAGAGGTCGTACAAATTAAGTTTCAAAGGATGCTTAGGAGTTAGAATAGAAGGGGAGATTTTCTGGTTCATGTGACTCACCTGCTGAAATCTAACAACAGCTCCTAGTGGCTTTCAAACTAAAGTTCATACTTCATGGATTTAGGGATTTTTCTTAAGAGAATTGTCATGTACATGACTGTGTTTTAGAAATATTTCTTCAGTATAGTACAGAAGAGGGGACTTGGTGAGAAGATAAAAAGGATGAGGGGAATTTATAGGCTGTGATTGGAGACTTGGAAACAATCATGCCTGGTGCTCAGGATGGTGAAGAAGTTGCACTGCTGTTGGGGGAATGGTGGGAAGTTGGGGACTAAAGTTGACTCTTAGCCACCCAAACCTAAGGCCACATTGTTTATGGGTCTGGAAGGAGGTACATGAGTGGGGCAGAGCTTATAGAACACAAAATTCTGCCAATGTCACCAAAATAAAAGAAAATGTAATTTTCTAGTTTCTGTCTATATGCTCTCCTAAAACAAAAATTTTTAAACGTATTCCTGAATGGGGACACCTAAATTTATATTTATAACCCTAACATTATCAATTTTTGAGTTTTTTTAAATAAAAAAAATACTAGTTTTTGGAAAACTAAATATAAGATCCTTCTGTGAATAAACAGTAAGTTTGTCAAACCATTCTGTTCATAAAAACATAGCTAACTGGGACTTTGTCAAGTTCATTGAAGATGCAGGGAAATTTTAATTGAGGAATAACAGAAATGAAAAGAAATAAGTACTAAGTAAGTAGGCTGGCAGTGATCAGAGGGGCTGCAAAAGATCCCAAGTTGTAGGGGTGAGGGTAGAGATGAGGAAAGCCAGGACCCAAAGAACAACTGATGCTGGGGCCAGTCGGCACCTAACCACAGACCTAAACACCTAATGGTGGTTCTAAATACCATGTCCACGATTAATTAGTAAACAAAGCTTTCTTCCCCCCATACTTGTTGATAAAGAGTTAACTCAATTCTTTCTCCTGCTGCATGAAAATCTGATCCGGTGTCTCAGTTCCTTAGTTAATAGCCTCGTTTTCCTCTGTGAGCCAAGTCCGAGCACAGGCCAGGATGCCTTACTACAGAAACAAGCATCACCACACGCAGAAAGAGGGCAGGCTCTCCTCCCACTCTCTAGTTAACGCTCTAGCTCTGTTCCACTCGCAAACTGATAAGGGTAAAATGCCAACCACGTTACTAGGCAATCTTGCTTACAATGAAAATAACTCCTGGCTGGTAAATTTCTCTTGTACAGAAGGAACTAGAAACAAATCACAAATACGTGATGCTTTGTGCCTCCCTGAGTGTGCTGACTCCTGTACCCAGCACGTGCCTTATGGAGACCCTGGCAGTTGTGCCCATGGCGTCATTACAGGATTGGTTGACTCCTATGGGGCAGAAGCTTTGAAGCCAAGATGACTCCCCATCACTGCCTGATGTGGTCCTGTGTCCTGGCACTTGAGCTCTGCTGCACACACAGCTTCAAGGACCATGGGGAAGGAAGGTCTGACCCTGCCCTCTTCTCACTGAGACTTGTAAGAAGACGGTGAATCTGTAATTAAAACCAAGAAGATATTGGTGGGCACTGCATTTTTTTTTCTTTCTTTTTGTATGGAGGTACTGGGGATTGAACCCAGGACCCTGGGCATGCTAAGCCCATGCTCTACCACTGACCTATACGCACTCCCCCACATATGTTTTATAATCAGAAATTAAATATTTGCTAGTTCTAAAGGTCAGAAAGAATTTATGACATACAGAAATTCATATACACTGATTGCCTACAGCAACATTTCTGAAAAGAGAATCAATTCTTTCAGCACGCTCTAAAAATCTATAACTGATTATATAAAATAAATGTGTATATGTTAAATTGGTCTCCTACAAGGGCATGGATATACTTAAATTTAAGATTCTTAAAATGAGTAACAAATGAGGGTCTTACCATAATTAGGTAAAATGCACATGTTGAGGGGAACCATCAGCAGAACTATGCATCCCAGAAAAATGAAAGGCACCTCGTAGCCGAAGGACTGATACAGGAAGCCACCCAGAGGAGGCCCCAGCACTAGTCCCAGTCCAGAAAAAATCTCAAGACATCCCTAAAAATGAGGAAATAAAAGGGAATTGAGTTAATATAGTTTCTTTGAAAAATTAACAAACATGTAATGCGCTGGATCTGAAAAATAACTCTCTCTGCCTCATAATTTACATACATACACCCAAGGTGGACCCAAAATTTAAGCACACATATTGAATTCATAAAAAATAGAAAAATATGAGTTTTTTTGTTTTCTAATCCCTATGATGGGGAAGATTTTCTAATTATGACATAAAGACAGATGACACAAAAGAAAAGATTGATAAATCTGATTACATGAAAATATGAGAACTATGAAAGGCAAAAAAAAATCAAAAGACAGATGAATAGGAGAAAAAAAATACTGACAAAGGACTAATTTCCCAAACTCACCAAGAGAGTGACTGCTAATCAATGAGGGGAAAAAAAGAACAATCCAATGAGAAAAGGGGCAAGTGATTAAATAGACTGTAGACACATAAAATGAAACACAAATAGTTCTAATGTGAACTGGTCATCTCTAAGTTGCAGGACAGCAAATCCACACTCCAAACATGTCACAAAATCTTGTTTTATAGAGCATGTCAACGGACCGGTATTCTTCTGAATGCTTTCTGAGAAATATATTTCTGGGAAATGTAAACAGTACACCTGTCACAGCAGCCACCACTGCATGCCAAATGGATGCAGAACCTAAAATGAATCTATCCTGATATATATACAAAGATATACTTACATAAGTGTATATATTTAACGAAAAGTGTGAGGATTTATATTTATACAGCAAATAGGTTATCTGATGGTCAAAACTTTTAAATTACTATAAAATATATAAACAAGTTCATACTGTATAGCACAGGGAACTATATTCAATATCTTGTAGTAACTTATGATGAAAAAGAATATGAAAATGAATATATATATGTTCATGTATGACTGAAGCACTGTCCTGTATACCAGAAATTGACAAAACATTATAAACTGACTATACTTCAATAAAAATACATATATACAAAAAAAAACTTTTAAACTATTAATACGGGTAAACAAAAGAATTTTTAGCACTGAGCTGATTAGACCCTGAAGTCTAGAGGACAATTACAGCTCTGAGGGTGGTATCTGTTCTGATATTCAAACCAGGAGTCCTTCAGGGATGCATGGATCCAGAGGTGAGAGCTATGGGAAAGCTAGTTGGGGTCAGGGAGGCAGCAGCTTGGAGCTGGGACAGGAACCTGGTATGTCACTAATATCCGGGGTCTAGGCATCTAAAGCAATATGTGAGAATTATGTCAATATGATGCTAAAGGCTCTGGATTTTTATGGTAAAATTAGACGGCACTCCTCAGACCAACGGCATTGAAGCACTTAGGGACTTCAAGGAGATCTCTAAGATCCTTTCCATGAATCCGGGAAAAGTGGAGGAAGGACTCTAGTACAAATCTGCTTCAGGCAACTCAGCCACAATCTAGGCTACAGAGAGACAGCAAAATACCACCAGAGAGGTGTAAGAAGAAAAAGGATGAAAAGAATATTTGCGTTTGCCTTCTCGGGAGCTTCTAAGCCCAGGAAGAGCACCTAAGTAGGACTATGGTACATATATTGACAGCCAAGCAGAAATTGGCATAAAAGGTAACAAAAACACAGAGAGTAGAAAAAAAGCAAGTCTAGAAGAATGGACCCCAGCTTTGACTTGCAAGGTCAAGCAAATATTTTAGCCCACACTAAAAAGGAAAACAGGAAAAATGCATAAAATACCTACCAACACTGTAGCCACATTGTTTGGAAAAGCTTTTGCAAGGATCGAAGACGACGCGGTTATCGCTGCAGAGAAGCTTACTGCATCTGTTATTCTCACTAGAAAACACATAGCAATAAACACCGGTCCTTCTGGAACTTGGTCCAATACACTAAAAAAGAGCAAGACAATCCTCAAATGCCAAACTGGTTTTGATTTATTTTTTTCTTTTGAGCTGTACTCCCTGAAAACAGTAGTACTGCAACCATAGTTACTAAGACAAATCTCTTCAGAAAATGAATTTTTGTAGAGTGTCTTTGTTATACTTTTAGTAAGAGAATTTGAGTCATAATGACAGCCTCACTGCCCTTTTCTACTGACACAGCTGATGCACTAAATAATAATACTGAAGAGGCCTTCTGAAAAATGTGGAGTCACTCTGACAAGAACGTATGTAGAAGAAAGACTTCTCAGTTTTAGCTCTTTCCCCAAAGAAAAGTACATGAAGAGGAAAGCAAAACCAGGAATCTGAGAAAGACTTCTGATGGCATTATCTTAACAGTTGTATCCCGATGTTCTTCAGCTGCTTCTCTAGGTAAGAAATTCACCTTTTGCTTAAGCCAAAAAAGTTTTGTGACTCAGAAAAGAGAGTTAAGTTTCTGTCACTCACAATCACAGCAGTCCTAAAGAACAGATTCAGTAGCCAGCTTAACGGTGATTCCCTTAGAGGATTCTTTTCTTAAGATCAATGTCATTCAATCCATTCTCCACATAATCCAATTCCCTTCACCATTAGTCACATGCCAGGTACTTAACAATAATGGTACTGATTGATTTAAAGAAACCATAACACTTTAAACTGAAGATAAACTATGAAATCTGTTCAAGCTCCCAAACATATCAGAGCATGACTTACCCAAAGAGAATTGTAACTCCTCCTGAGACAAGTAATCCTGCTACAAACATAAATTTTGCTCCAATATGTACAAGCTATAACAAATATCAAAGAAAAGTGGTAAATTGATGACTGCTACAAGTTAAGACTGACATAAACAAATCCACTATATCAGGAAACAGAAGATTTGGGGAAGGTATGTATAGTTAATAAAACATTACAATACTTCTCTAGTGGAATGACAGCACACATTGCTTACAAACATGGAAGAAGTTAAATATCAATCAACCCTAAGAATGGAACTGTCAAAAGAAGCACAATTCATAAAACATAATGGTGGTTATTTCTGCATCAGTGGAAATTATAGACCAGTAAATTAGAATAACACATTACATAATTTTTAAAAATTAAAATGTGAATATGAATGTTAATACTTACATATTTTCCAAACACCAAAGATGCCAGCAAGTCAAACAAAGCATAACATCCAAAGATCATACCAGTAACTGTGTTGCTGACTCCTTTCTTTTCAGCCTTGAAAGTAACAGAAAAGGAAACCAATATTTAAAAAAAAAATGGAGCTATTGGATCAGAGCATCATCTTCTTGTAAACTTTGTGTAGCAGTTTCAAAGATTATTATTTTAAAGTAAGCAGGGTGAGGAAAGAAAGGCAGCTAGTAAAAGCTAGTCTCTAACATGAAAATAATTCACTCATCAAGCCTGTAACAAATTGTTAGCTTTACGATCTAGCGAAAGAAGAACAAAAGTGGAGGCATCACACTTCTTGATTTCAAAAATAAATTACAAAGATACAATAACCAAAACAGTATGGTTCTGGCATACAGACAGACATAAAGACCAATAGAACAGAATAGAGAGCCTAGAAATAAACCCACACACATATGGTCAATTGATCTTCCACAAGGGTGATCAGGACACACAATGGGGAAGAGACACTCTTCAAGAAACAGTGTTAGGAAAACTGGAAAAGAATGAAACTGGACCCCTATCCTACACCACTCACAAAATGAACTCAAAACAAATTAGACTTAAACATAAGATCTGAAACTGTTAAACTCCTTGAAGAGAAGATGGGGGTGGGGGACTCCTTGACATTGATCTTGGCAATGATTTCTTGGATTTGACACCAAAAACCTAGGCAACAAAACAAATTAGACATATGGAACTACACCACATTAAACGTATTCACAGCAAAGGAAACAATCAACAGAGTGAAAATGCTACCTACAGAATGGGAGAAAATGTTTGTAAACCATCTCTATACCCAAAATATATAAGAATTTCCTACAACTGAATAGTCCAAAAAAACCCCACAAAGAACCTGACTTAAAAAATGGGCAAAGGACTTGAATAGACATTTCTTTAAAGACGACATGAAAAATGGCCACCAGGTATATGAAAAGCTGCTCAAGATCACTAATCGTCAGGGAAATGCAGATCCAAATCACCATGAGATATCATTTCATTATCTTTTAATTATCTTATAATGGTTAGGATAGCAATTATTGAAAAAAACAAACGATAACAAGTGTTGAGGATGTGGAGAAATTGGAACCTTTATACACTGTTGGTGGGGATGTAAATTGCAGCCACTATGGAGAACAGTATGGAGGGTCCCCCAAACATCAAAAAGCTAACTCCCAGACAAGCTTCTGAGTATATATCGAAAAGAATTGGAAGTAGGGTCTCAGAGATATGTGCACCCCCTGTTCACTGCAGCATTATTCTCAATAACCAAGATGAAACAGAAGGAAACCAAATGTCCATCAACAGATGAATGGGTAAAGACAATGTGCCATATATATATATATATATATATATATATATATATATATATATATATACCTATATATAGATATAATGAAATATTATTCAGCCTTAAAAAAAGGAAAATCCTGGCATTTGCAATGACATGGATGAACCCTGAGGAAATTGCACTAAGTGAAGTAAGCCAGTCGTAGAACAGACACTGCAGATTCTTATATGAATTATCTACAATAGTTGCACTCACAGAAGCAGAGACTAGGATGGTGCTTCTCAGGAGCTCTGGGAAGGGAGGAGTGGAGAATTACTGCTCTTTGGGTATAAAATTTCTGTCATACAAGATGAGCTCATGTTATGTTCTCACCACAAAAAGGAAGGAAGGAAGAAGGGGAAGGAAGAAGGGAAAGTAAGAAAGAAAGACAGAAAGAAAGGGAGAGAAAGAGAGAAAGGAAAAGAAAAGAAAAGAAAAGGAGGAGAGAAGAGAAGAGGAAAGGAAAGGAAAGAAAAGAAAAGTAAAAGAAAAGGAAAGGAAAGGAACCCAGAAAAGAACACATGGGAATTTTCTGATGGATGTGTTTAGGATTTTGATTGCAGTGATGACATCACAGGTGTGTGCATATGTCCATACTCACAAGATGGCTATATTAAATATGTGCAGTTATTTGTATATGAATTATACCTAAAGTCCCCTATGAAAAAGAAAAGAATTGTTAGCTTTAGCTGGCAAAAATCAGAACTAGAGTATAAACAAAACAAAAAACCTTGACTGAGAAAATTTGGGCTCTGCTTCACCAGTGGAACTAAGCAAACAGTTGAAAAATCTTGACATACTTGCTTTTTGGTATCTGTGAGATAACAGAAAATATATATATAGGTTTCTGCCCTCAGTTCTTGGCACAAAGCTCCTAAAATCCTTACAATCTCCTAAGTGATAAGAGCTCTAGCAGCAATGTTGTTCTAATATTTGGTCTTTGACCCTGGCTCCTGATACTGGGCTCCTCAACCCCTTGGCATCTCCTGGGTGATAGGAGCTCTAATGAGGCAACTCTGGGTGCACTCCTGGATAGGGGCTGGTCACCAGAAAGACTAAGCCATGATCAGAAGCTTGGAACAATCAGTCCCACACCCCATTCTCCAGAGAGGGGCTGAAAATCGAGTTAATGACTGGTCATGCCTATGTGATCAAGCTTCCATAAAAATCCTTAAGGTGTGGGGTTTGGGAGCGTTCAGACTTGTAAGCACATGGAGATGCTGGAAGCATGGTACACTCAGGATATGGAAGTTCCATGGCACCTTGCATATACCTTGCCCTGTGTATCTCTTCCATCTGCATGTTCATCCATATACTTCATCACATCCTTTTATAATAAAGTGTAAGCCTTATGCAAGTGTGTCCCTGAGTTCTGTAAGCCACTCTAGCAAATAACTGAATCAAAGGTAAGGAGAACCTCTGATTTGTAGCCAAGCTGGACAGATGCTACGGGTAACCTGGAGACCTACCACTTGTGACAGGCATCTGAAGGTGGGGGGCGGGGGGCGGTCTCATGGGACTGAGCTTTTAACCTATGGTGTCTGCGCTAATTCGGGTTAGTGTCAGCACTGAATGGTAGGACACCCAGCTGATGTCACAGAGAATAGCTTGGTGTGGGGAAAGAAACCCACACATCTGGTGTCTGAAGTATTTTGAGTGTGGCAGTAGTGTGAGTGTAAAGGAGAAACACAAGAGGAAGGTTTTCCTACTCAGTATTACATTTTGGTACAGGATTGAATGTCACTAAAAACAACAACAACAACAAAACCACTTTGCTGCGCAAAAAACTCAAGAACAGGAAGTTCCTCAAGCTGAAACATGAGTCATCCCAAGTCTGGTTCTCTGTTTCTGATACCAATATCAGCCACCTGACAGGCTCGAGAAAAGAGTTTTCTTTCCTGACATCAGCAACACAGATGAAAGTAGCTCCCCCATCTCCCCACAGTCTACATGCTCCTGAAACGTCTGGAGTAGTTTATTATGCATCAACGATCCCTACTAATATTTCTAGCCCATCCTATCAGGAGCTCCTAATATAGCATTTATTCTAAATCTACTTCTTCTGAACTTCAAATGCTACTATTAGTTGTGATGTACAATTGAATAGAAGGCTTGAAAAAATGTTAAACCCTGGAACTATGGTAGATCCTTCCATCAGATTCTAGCTATAATCATTTAAGGAATTAAAATGTGAGCTTAATTTCAAGATGGGCAACTTGGCATGTCATGGAGTACTAAGCCTAAAATACACAGTTCTCCATCCTATCAGGCAGTCAGTGGTCATTTATGGTCATTTATTGAACACCTTCTGTGTCAGGCGTGGTCCCTGGGAGACAGCAGTGAATATTATGGTCAGAAAATCCGATTTAGATTCATCCTTTCGCCAGAGCTTCAGCTCTTCCACAAATGACTTTACTCTGAATACAGAAATGCACACACACACTCCTACACCCTTTAAAATCCATTCTCTACAACAGCAGACTTGTATTTCTTTACGTCTTCTCCCTAACTACACTTTTACAATGAAAATTTACTTCATTGTTTCCCATATGAAGTTATGATCTTCATTCAATCTTTGTCTTTTTTAAAAATGTTCTTCTTGTGTCCTTATGTCTCTAAATAAACCCTACATGTCTCAAAGCATCATATCACAGGAAACAAGATGGGTGAACTCTGTTTTTGGCTAAACCATAGGAAGGAAGGGAGCCCTCATTCTAGGAAGCAACCCCAACCCGGAAATGTGGTCTCTAAGTGTCAGGTGGTAGGAGAGAGTGAAAAAGTTGAACCTACAGCATTACAAAAAAAACTGCTTGGCCAGGATTTAAGCCTATAATTTTATGAAACTCAGAATTAGTTCTTCTCCTCCCATTACCGATAGTCACCTGAGATAAGTGTGGAGAAAAGAGAAATCTCACTATGAAAGATGCTTTTAATGGCATCCTCGCAAGAGGTTATGCAGTAGGTAGATGGGAACATGGAGTCCACACTTCTTCTGCACAAGGGTCAGGTAGCATTAGGGGGTTAATTGTGCCCCTCAAACTTCTTATGTTGATGTCCTAACTCCCAGTCCCTCAGAATGTGACCTGATTTGGAGATAGAGTCTTTGCACGTGAAATCAGTTGAAATGAGGTCATGAGGGGTGGAGTCTAATCCAATATTACTTGTATCTTTGTAAAAAGGGGAAATTTCTACAAAGAGACACATAGAGGGAAGATGATGTGAAAAGAAAGGGAGAAGTCAGCTACCTTCAAGCCAAAGAGAGAGGCGTGGGGTAGCTCTTCCCCTCGCAGCCCTCAGGAGGAGTCAGCCCTGCCAGCACCACTTTGATTTTGGACTTCTAGCCTCCAGAGCTGTGGGACAATACATTTCTGTCATTTTAGCCATCTAGTTTGTGCTGCTTTGTTACTGCAGCCCTAGCAAAGTAAAGCATGCACCTCAAAGAGAAGGTGTTATCAAGGGTGTCAATCAAGATGTAGAAAGAACATTCATTGGTCAAGTCACCTTATCCACGTTCTTTGCTTCATAGCTCTGGGAAGCATTCACTTCCTGAGTCTTGCAGAAAATACATAATAGTTTGAGCAACTAACATTTACCAGACCCTCACTATGAGCCATGCTGTTTTATATGGGTCCTAACAACAATTAAATAAGGGATGTATTTTTAGCTGGCCCCATCTTACAGAAGTCTTACAGAGGACACAGACTTGCAAAAGTTACTTGTGGCATGGTCACAGAAGCTGTAACAGCTTCCATCTTGCATAGGATCCCACATTCTCTGCAGAAGCAGGATAGTAACTGAGGATGTCCTAGAACCACAGACCACAGCAAGAACTGAACACCACTCTTGGCATGTGGATCCCGCTTTGCCTTAGGAAAGCAAGAACAGCTACTGAAAGCAATTTCTAGTTCACTTATTAGTCTCTGCCAAAGGAGGAAGGAGCCAGAAAAAAGGATGAGTAGAAACAGGAATCCTGCACCAGAAATTAAGAAAAAGGGTTTTGTTTCCCTTGGCCTGGTGACCACCAGCTAATAGGAAGGATAACGGGATACGCAGGCAGAGGGGTAAGTTCTAACAGGGCATTTGTCAACCTAAAGCTTTAATAAGAAATGAAGAAAAAAAAAGTCCACTCTTCATATCTACAACTTTTAAAGTTAGAAAACTCTCTCCCTTGCCTCTTCTAAGCAAAAAACTAAATCAAAAAAAAAAAAAAGGTACACACCCACAACCCGGCTTTCCTTTACTTGTATTGCACGAAGAAGAAACTAACACTAGTTGCCCTCCTTAAGTTACAGCTGAGCAGGGAAATGCCCTAACTTACTCCATCTGAATTCCACTGGCTCCACCCATCACTATATTTTTCCAAAACCCATATCTGCTCAGTCAACTCTGTCTTGCTCAAACACCTCTGATGACTTCTCACCAACTGTGTCTTTGGCATGAGTGGAAGGCCCCTGGCAATCAGGCTCCAACCTGCCTCCTCAGATCCTCTGCCTCCATGAGACCTCACTCCACCCCAGGCCCAAGCCACACCATTGTCTGCAGTCCCCTAGGAACATGCTATTTACTTTGCTAATCTCATGACTATCTCACCTAGAACAGGTTTGGCTCTCTTGTTCAACATGGAAACTATCATTTCTCAAAGCTCATCCTGCGAAGTCCCTTCCAGTATCACCCTTCCCTCCCACACGCACCATCCCACTCATGCATGGCAAAATTAAACTTTCTCTTCTCTAAAGCTTCCTAGCATTTAGGACAACCTCTTCTTCAAGGAGGCCCAAATACTCTGCAACTTTTTTTTTCATATTTTTTCATTGCCAAAGGACAGATGAGAGAGGGACATTTTGCTAATTTTCCTTCCAGCCCTAACACATCCAAATGGCCCAGCACACTCCAGGGTGGGAAGTCTTTCAACCTCCTCCTCCCATTCAGTAAACAAAACTGGACTGGGCCAGTCACTTAACTTCTGAGTCTGTTCCTTCATTTGCAACACGATCAGGTTCTCACTATTCTGCCTATCTGATGGAGTTGCTGCAGAGACCAAATAGGATTAAACGTGTGGGAAAGCACACTGGAAACTAAAGGCGCTTATGGGTTCAGAGCTGTACTGTTCCTTTAGCAAAGACAAGTCATGCTTATCCTTTTTTGTAGCACACAGAAGGAAGGACCACATGTGGCCAAAGCAGTTAGACGACTGGGAAGGGCCAGCGCATCACGAGCAGAGGCTTTGAAGAGCATGAAGTAAAACACACGGGCACATTATCTCCACTCAGCCAAGACAGTCCCATTCCTTCCATACTATACCCCATCGACCTCCAGATTTCAGGGGGCTTCTCTAGCTGTTATTCCTTCAAGTTTGTACCATTATCTGTAGACCCTAACGTCACACAAAAGGCTATGATTAGAAGGACCTAATAATATCACTCATAATTCTTCCTCGGCACAAACATTGATAGTAGGGTTCCATACAAAATTCAAGTCAGAAAAAGAGAATGGACCATGTCTTCTTAACACTAAAATATTAATAAACCCAAACTCCAGGAAACAGAGTTACTGTCTTAAGAGGTTTTGTTTTGCAATAACATCAAAATTTCAGTTATTCAATACACTTCCTTTTTTTTTTTCAGTTGCAGAAACCGAATAAAGATGAATCAAAGTACTTGGTAAGCGAGGTAACTATCAGAAGGTCAACTATATTTAGATGAATTACCTCCCAAGATGATGGGGTTTTTTTTGACTAAATTTTTTTTCAAATATTCTCTAAGAAGTCTTCTGTTGGCTTAAGTTCTAAACATCATCTTTACTACATGCAGATTTTTAAATATTCCATACTATCAAATGAAATATTTCAAAGGCTTTTTTAAAACATTAGTAGTTCATAAGGATATGAAAATGTCTTACCTCCGTCGGGAAAAAGGGTCCAAGGATAGAATAGCACATCATGGAACTGAAGTTAATGGAAGCTGCTGAAATCAGTACAAAAATCTGTTCTCTTGAAAGTCGCCTGGGGATCTCCCTTACACTTCCTGGAGAGCCATCACCTTGAAGGCAAACACACTGCAATTACAAATATGTAATTGGGGTTACGGATCAAAGTACAGAAATGCCATTTCTGTGCACGATGCACTCTGAAGATAACATTTGCTGAGCTAATGGCTATTTTGAATATAGCACATTTGATCAAATGTCATGCAATCCTTGTATATCACTACAATTTTCAAAATACATCACTTTCATTTACAAGCCATTCCCTATTAGAATTTCAGTGCAGAATTCATCAAACCATGCTCTGTTTGCCTTCACCATAAGGCCTATTTCTTTCACCTTTAATGGATTCCTTTGAGAAGGATGAGGCCACAGGATGAACTCCATAGGGTACTGTTCTCTGAAGTATAACAGACTTTCTCAAGTTACTAGCTTCACATGCTACGTGAACTCGATGTTTGAAGCACATCGTGTTAGCTGTTTATTAATCATTCCAGGATACTATCAAAGTCAAGTGAAGTGTAATCAAAAGAAAACAAGGCAAATCCTTCAACTGGAAAAATAATACTTACAATGGTAGCTCCTGGGAAAACAAGCCCCATAAATCCATAAATCAGTACTTGTTTACACTAATTACTGGTCTTTTGCATCAATTATTTTAATACTTATTCCCACCATTTAATTTAGACACCAGGCCAATTACTCAGTTTCAAACATCCAGTGAATCTAATTGATACTTTTAAGTTAAATGGTTTTAAGAAAAAAGAAATTTAAGTAAGAAAGATATATTTGAATTGCTCTATTTTTTCGGGAAGTTGCCATTGCTGTCTAGAAAAACAAAAATTTGTGCAGCATGAGGAAGTCTCAAGAATCTTTGTAAAAATTTTGGTAAAGGATGAGGAAGGCAACTGAGAGAAAGTTAAAGGCGGGGGACAACAGTGGATTTTCATGTGTCTAATGGCATACTAATTTGAATACATTCTTAAACACAATACTTAAAAGCAGAGCTACCGAGAGAAACTATTAGAGACCGCACGCCATCCCAGTGCTCAAATTTTAACCCCCTCGCAGAGAGAAAAGGCACGCTGACCCGAGCCCCAGGCCAGGTCCCCGTCTTTTCGACCTCTCGGAAACAAATCAAGCTACCGCTACTTCAGTCGCTTTTAAAGAGACAGGACACAAGCCACCAAGGCGGGTCCAGCCGAGCTGCTCTTTGGTCACCTCCTGGGGGGCGCGGACCTTCGGGGTCTCCCGGCGCGTCCATGAGCGGTACGAGGACTCCGGCGCCCGGGTTCCCGGGTCCAGGCCTGCGTCCCTGGACTCGAATTCGAACCAGCTGAAAAGCGGGCAGCGACTGCTCAGCCCGGCCCTAGCATCCTCGATTCCGTCCGGATAGCGCCGCCCGGAGTTCCACGCAGCCTGGAGGACACCGAGGAGCTCTGGGGGGCGGGGCGGGGCGGGGGCGGAGCAAGGCCTTTTTTTTTAAAATGCGGACTGTTAATGTCCACCACTTAGCATATGCTGTCCTTTTTTTCTGTAGGAGAACAACAACAACAACAAAGAGTCTATATTTCATATAGTTGAACCCTTTACCTTAAAATGAGCAAAATTTAGGAATTCTGAAAGTGAGAAAGGAAGCTTATGTAGACATAGAAAATTTAGGGAATACCTAAAGTAAAAATACAAATGTAAATTAGAAAATTAGATTCATACTTACCCTTTAAGAGTGAGTTATTCTTCACAGTGGGTAACCTAGAAATGAATTAACTGGTGTGAAGCACCCAGAGTAAAAATATATTTGCAAGAATTATAATGAATATTGAAGACACAAGGTGGAATGGTTGGGGGTACCACTTTTGGAGGCCGATGCTTGAGGTTCGGCTCAGGGCACTTAAAAGTCAGCCCTCCATATCCTCTTTATGCATTGCTGGAATTCAACCAAGGAGGGAGGGGGTCGAAAATATTTTTTCAAAGTTTTTTCAGAAATTTCCAAAAAGTGAAATTTGAATTTACCAAGCAGTGACAACTATTTACATATCATTTAAATTTTATTTACAACTATTTATGTATCATTTACATTGTATTGGGTACTGTAAGTATTCTAGAAATGATTTAAAGCGAACGGGAGGATGTGGGTAGGTTATGTGCAAATACTATGCAATTTTAGATAAGGGACTTGAGCCTCTGCGTTGGGGGTCCTGGAACCAATATCGTCGAATACTAAGGGACAACTGTACTACTTGTTTGTGACTTCGGGTGATAAGGTCATTTTCTCCATCTGTGTAACTGAGATTATAATACTTAGGTGGCTGTGAGCACTAATGATAAAACGTATGAAGTGCTTGATGTGCGAACATGACTGCTGCTATGTCACTCCCACCCTCACAAATTTCTGACACACAAACAATAGGGGCTTCACTTATCTTCACTGTATTCACTATTTAGGAAGGGTTAATGTTTGAGGACTGGGAAATTCTTAATCAGAGGCCAAGGGAAAAACAATAGTCTTGAGTGACTATATTGTGCCAGGCATTGTGAATTGAAAGATGAGTGAGCCCTACCAAGTACCAAATCTCTTGTCTTTAAACAGCATACATACCTCCTTCCAGCAGATAAAACAGACATGATTAACAATTTATTACAATGCAATGAGTTTTACAGGAGAAACATACTGGAAGAACTGTTTACTTTGGCTAAATGAGCCCAGGATGGCTTCCAGAGGAAGTGATGTTACATTGGCTCTTGAAGTTTATGTAAAAATTCCCAAGTGAGCACATAGGTAAGGAAAGCCCTTAGAGCCACTCTAAATAGAAGGATTAGCTCTAGCAAACTTCCCTTAAAGTGACCTTCCAGAATCTTTATGATCTAATCCCTGCCAGTTTCTCAAATCTCATTTTAGTCTACGTTCTCTCTTCAATCTAACATCAAACCATAGAGGAGAAATTTCTTGAATTATTTCTTTGATGACTACATTCCCTTACACCCATACAGATCCACTTGCCCATTACTAACCTCCAATCATTGGTTTTAGTTTTCACATGCATTATATCTACAAATGCTATGAAGTCTATAATGAAATGTTATATTTGTTTAATCATACTTTCTTTAATTAATTAGAAAAAAATAGTCTTTTAAGTTTGCTGACATACTTACCATTTCCAATCTTCTTTATCCCTTCTGGAACATCTGAATTTTCAATTTGATATATTTCTCTTCAGCATAAATGCCTTTCTGTAACATTTCTTCAAGTGTGATCTTCTGGTGATGAATTCTGTTATTTTTTGTTTATCTCTGGATGTCTTTATTTTGTCTTCATTGTTGACAAGTCTTTTTAATTGGATATAGAAATATGAGAATTGTCTTTCAGCCCTTTCAAGACACACAGTTCTACTGCCTTTCAGCCCTGTAATTTCTCAAGAAAAATTCATTTAATTTTGTACTATTGGTCTCCTGCATGTTATGCACTTTGTTTTCCTGGAAGTTTTTGGAATTTCTTCTTATCTTTGATTTCAGTAGTTCACTTATGATGTACCTAGGTATGTATGTGTTTGTATTTCTACTTCTTGGGCTTCACGAATCTGTAAATTTATGTGCTGCATCAAATTTTGGACATTATTTGGACCAAATTTTGGATGCTTTTGGACATTATTTCTTCAAATATTTTTTGTTTCATTCTCTTGACTCCCTATGGCACTGGAATTGCATATATGTTAGCATTATGTATTCAATTACATACATGTTGAACCTTTTGATTTTGTCCCACAGATCATTGCAGCTCTATTTTTTTCAATTGCTTTCTTCTCTCTTTTCTTCAAATTAGAAAATTTCAGGTTGATCACACTTCAAGTTTACTCACTCTTTCATCGTCTCCAATCTGCTGCTAGCCCTTCCAGTGAATTTATTTCTCATATTTTATCTCAGTTCTCAAATTCCTACTTGATCCTCTTTCATAGTTTTTGTTGTCTCTATTTGTTCATTCATTATGAGAATTTATTAAACATTTTTGAGCACATTTTTAGTAGCTGCTTTAAAATTCTTGACATTTTGAATCATCCTGGGGCCAGTTTCCATACATTGCCTTTTCTTTTTAGTGTGAATCATGTTTCTGTCTTCTTAGCATATGTGATGATTCTGGATCATATCAAGGACATCATGGATGATACATTGCAGAGACTCGGGATTCTCCTGTATTGTTTTAAAGAATATTGGTTTTTTTTTCTTTTTTAACTTCAGCAGTTAACCTGCCTTGATTCAAACTTTGTTTCTTAGGGATGAGAGGCAACTGAATTCTCTGTGTATTTTGTTTAGCCTTAACTATGTTGCTTGGAGTCTGCCCCATGCACATGTAGTTCAGGGGCCAGTCAGAGGTTTAGAAGCATCTATACACAGAATATTGGTCTGTCCCTCTGCCATTTTCGGCAGCCATGATTGCTCTAAACTCTTTCCTCTGGCATTCAAGGCAGTAAAGCTGAGGACCTCTGACTATTAGTTGTCCCATGTGGCACTGACGGGGGTGTTCTTCCCTCATGCTAAAAGCCATAAAAGTGGGGATTCAGCCAATGCCTTCAGGTAGTTTCTAAAAATTTTAGACTTACATTGATTATCTGCAAGAGGGTTAGTCTTGCAGAACCACTGGTAATTCATATTTGTTGTATGTTATTAAACTAATCATCTGTGATGGATTGGGCGGGGAAAAAAAATCTTCATTTAGTCAGACAGCTAGGCAGATAATTTGAGAAGCACTGACTTAAGAGACTTTGTAAAAGTTCCTGTAACAAAGATCCCTGGAATCATCCTGTTTCTACCATTACCTGAACCTGATGGCTCAACAAACCCTTTTATTCTGAGCCAATCAGGAGCTTTCCAGTATATTCACTTTTTTAAAAATGTTGGCCAAAGGTTATTCTGTTGCATGCAAAGAACAACAATTGATACAATATTATCCAAATTTTCTATAATACACATGCTTACTTGTCCTAATACAAAAAAGCAACAGCTGTCATTTACAAAGAGCTCATCTACAACCTGGAGATAGAGAAGGGAAGCTGGCACCAGTGCCAAGTGGCTAAAGTCACATGACATCACCATTTTACTGATAAAGAAAAAGAAGTCATTTGCCACACAGAGTGAGCTGGAATTTGAACTCAGCTCAGCTGGGCCCCACCACTCCAAGATATAAAATCTTTCGAGTGTATGAACTAGTTTAACTTCTGTTCCCAGCTCTGGTCTTTCAGGGAAGCTTTCTGCAGTTCAACTCAAAGATCTTTTCTAGCATTTAATCTGTTCTACATCCCCTTCTTCTTTGATATCTGTCATAGGTTGAATTGTGTTCCCTAAAAATACATATGTTGAAGTCCTAGCCCTAGCACCAAATATCAAGACCTTATCTGGAAATAGTTGTTCTAGATGTAATTAATTAAGATGGGGTTTTACTGGAGTGGGGTGAGTCCCTACTCCACTATAATTGGTATCCTTATAAAAAGGAAAAAATTTGGACACAGGGACAGATATGCACACAGAGAGAACAGCAGATGAAGACTGGAGTTATGTTGTCACATGCCAAGGAATGCCAAGGCACATCAACATTGCTGGCAAACTTCAGAAGCTAAGAGAAAGGTATGGAGCAGATTCCCGCTCACAGCCTAGAACTAACCAACCCTGCAGACACCCTGATTTCAAACTTCTTGCCCTCAGAACTCTGAGACAGTAACTTTGTTGTTTAAGCCACCAGTCTGTTTTTTAATTGGAGTATAGTTTACAATGTTGTCAATTCTGGTGTACAGCATAATGTTTCAGTCATATGTATACATACACATATTCGTTTTCATATTCTTTTTCATTATAGGTTACTACAAGATATTGAATAAAGTCCCCTGTGGTATACAGTAGAAACTTGTTTATCTATTTTATATACAGTTAGCATCTGCAAATCTCAAACTTCTAATTTATCCCTTCCAACCCCCCTTCCCCACCAGTAACCATGTTTGTTTTTCTGTGAGTCTCTTTCTGTTTTGTAAATAAGTTCATTTGTGTCATTTTTTTTTTTTTAGATTCCACATATAAGTGATATCATACGGTTTTTTTTCTTTCTCTTTCAAGCCACCAGTTTATGGTAATTGTTATGGCAACCCCAGCAAACGAATATAACATCTATACTTAGATGATTCAGAAACATACATTTCCACTGCCCTTTTTCTGCATAATACTGCAATATTCCCTTTCTCCATTTATGCAACTTTTTAGCACAGTAAGGGAGAGCCAGTTATATTATTGCCAAATGTGAGATGTAAAGTTATCTTTGAATTCTGTGATTTCCTTCCCACATTTGGGCAATCATCCAAATGGCTGAAGTGCTAGAAGCATGAGCTTTGAAGTCAGCTGGGCTCAAATATCAGCTTCCACATTTAATAGCTGTGTGATCTTGGGCAACTCTCTAAGCCTGGGTTTCCTTCCTTGTGAAAGGGGGCTAATACCACCACTACCATAGAGTCTCAATGATGATCAAGGGAGAAAATATATGATAATACTTGAAGTGCTCAACAAGAATACCAATTATTTTCATTATTGTTTCTAAAACACTTCAAAATTTATTTATTTTTCCTCTGTATTTCAGATGCACATTATGTAAGTATCATATCTGCAGGTGTAAGAGTGACCCTAGCCATTAAGCTCTATTTAGTTTGCCTTCCACTTTTGTCAATATCTAAAATTGAGAGGAGATGAACTAGGAGAATCTATATTACAGAATCCTTAAATCACCAGTGTGCCCTTTAACTTCATCCCCGGGATTAGAACTGGTCATGTAAGTAGGACATCAAAAACAAACAAACAAAACCCACAAAAACTACAAAAAACAAAAAATAAGCTCAGAGAAAAAAATGTGACAATGAATATATATATATGTTCATGTATGACTGAAAAGTTGTGCTCTACCCTGAAATTTGACACAATATTGTAAAATGATTATAAATCAATAAAAAATGTAAAACATAATAACAATAATGAGGTGGATTTATGACTGGAGGGATAGAGGGATGGATAGATGGAAGTATGATAAGCCAAGTCTAGTAAGTTGTTAATGGTAGAATCTTGGTAGAGGATATAGAGTCATGTACTGAATCTTAATTCTTTCAGCTTTGCTATGTGTTTGAAAATTGTCATAATAAAATCTCTTAGTAGTGGTTATCCACAGAGGATGGGATGACAGAAGCTTTAACTAACTCTGTGTTTAAATTTTTTGCAATTATATAATTAAAGAAAAATGAAAATAATTCTTTTTAAAGCTACATGAAACTGTCTTCACCTGTGACATCACCAAACTATTGACTGAATTACTTTTCATGTTTGAAATTTACATTAGGCCATGCTAAAAAAAAACAAAAAACAAAAAAAAGTAGCTCCAATTCTAAGAAGGGAAGTTTGAAACTGATAGGCATTCGTTAAGGTGAAATATTAAGGCCTATAATACTCGGGGCTACAGAATAAATTATGAGCTCCTAAAAAGACAAAAGCCAAGTCAGTGTTGGATGGTACTACACTGGAAAAATAGCATATGCTTAAAAGTGCTTAATCATTATTCTCCTGTATAAATACGTTGTTTGGCAATGATTATTTTCTCATTTATATTTCCCAAGTCTTTACCAAATTTTGTGCCTCCTCCGTAAGATTTGGAGGGGGGTGAGGTGTGTGGTTAGATCTACTAATATGTTTAGCGTATTAACTTTTATTAACTTTAGATGAAAATTTGCTGAAACACTCATGTTTCAAAAATACAAATGTGTTAAGGTAACTTTCAGCAAAGACAAGGAAGCATCCATGGCTCTGTCCTTATTTTTTTCTTCACTTAAAATAATTTTTTATTTTTATTATTATTTCTTTGAGCCAGTTTCAAATGTTGACTCGAGCCCTAAGTCCTTCTCTTCCCTTTCCACGTTAACCCCACTTAGTACCTCCCCTGTGGCCTTTAGGTTGTCTCATCTTTGGCTCAAAACTTAATCCCACACCACAAACATGAAATTAGCAGGAATAAACATTCTCATGTTTATAAAACTCGGCAGCTTTTTTTTTTTTTAAAGCAAAAGCTCAGTAGTTAAATGAACAAGTAAAGTGAACAACTTTTTAGGATGAGTATGGGTGGAAAGAAGCAGGTTCATCATTTTTAAAATGAAAACTTGAAAGCTAAAAATGAACAATAACAATCTATTAAAATTACAGTTTATCACCCTTCTGGTTAACTCTACCTCACACTCTTGTCACTCACTTTAGTTTTCTTCACAGCAGTCAAAGAATCTAACAGTACCTGTTTTGCTCTTCGCTGTTCACTCTATACGTAGTGCTGGCACCTATCAAACGCTTAATAATTGCTAACTGGCTTGGTGACTTGTCAAGAGAAGTTAAAGCTGAGAAAAAGGACTGTACTGATTACATTCGGCTGTATTTCATGTATGTGAGTTGGAAATGCGGGTAGGGGAAAGGCCAATCGACGTAAAACTCATAATGTTGCTTCCCGGCGAAGTCAGTTAAAACTGACAGTCAGGTTCCACTCCTAGCTCTGCTAGTTCTGGACGGCGAAATTGATGCCGGGTTTTTCAAAGCCTGCATTTTCCTAGACCCTATCCCTCTGTCCACCTGTTGAATCTCCATGTAGGCGGGAGTACGAATTCAGGGAACAACTTAGTGTTTAAACCGAAAAAAACCCCTCCATTTAGAACCAACTACACTAGGAAACCGTAGCCAGCCACCTGGCGGGCGTTCCACTTAACAAAGTCGCCGGGAAAGTGGAATTTGCGAAGTGCTGACAATTAGCGCAAACGTGTTGGCTTTCGTTTCATGAAAAGACATACATACACACCTACGAGGATCACTCACAGAATGACACATTCACGGACACTCAGAGCGAGTTAGAAGCCAAGGGCCTCAGGAAGCCCAATCAGTGGGGTTGACAGCAAGTTACAATTACGGTGTGCGGGCTAAGAGTTAGAAGCCGTTTCTACCCAGCCAGGGGCCGGAGGCCTGAAGCCTGAAGAGACCATGGAGAGAGGAGCGTCTGGCCCTTCTCGCGCTCCGTAGAACGAGCTCTCTGGGCCTCAGCAAGCCACGCCCCAGGCAGGGAGCGGCTGTAGGAGGCTGCCCGCGTTAGTGCCTGTTGCGCGGAGCCAATGACCGGCCGAGCCCCGTCAGAAGAACAGCAGGACCCCTGCCTTAGAACCGCCTCAATCCGGAAACAGAAATTCTCGAAGTCCGGCACTACCAGAGCCAGCTCTTTCGTGGAAGGGAATGCACATGCGCCGGGGGGGGAAGGGTCCTGGGACACCCTTAAATACCGTCTTGCTAGCGTGCTGGTCCTCTTTCCCTGCCGCCGCCGAGTCGCGCGGAGGCGGAGTCTCGGGGTGAGCTAAGGGAAGGGCGGTGGTTTCGGAACGTGGTTCGGCTTTTTTTGGGCTATAGGACTATTTTTGAGTATCTGGGCCTAAACTGAGTCGTTTGGTTAACCAATGTCATTGTTTTTTTTTTGCATTGTAGTGCATTCAAGATTCGGCTCCACCCGTAACCCACCGCCATGGCCGAGGAAGGGTGAGCCCAGGGTCGGGGTCGTGATGCGGGGGGACCGGGTCTGGGCCGCGTGTGGGCCGCGAGTCGGCAGCGCGGGCTCTGGGTCACTCGTGGCGCTCAAAGCGGCGTTTGGCCTACCTCGCCGTTGGCTGCCGAGTCTGAGGTTCCAGATGGCATGCAGGTAGCGTAATGATTGTTTTAATATTTTCTTACGTTTTAGCATTGCTGCTGGAGGTGTAATGGACGTCAATACTGCTCTACAAGAGGTGCTGAAGACCGCCCTCATCCATGATGGCCTAGCACGTGGAATTCGCGAAGCTGCCAAAGCCTTAGACAAGTACGTGTATCAGTCTCAATACTGTGGGGTGTTGGAACCGGAACAAAACTGCAGCCAAGGGAAGAATGCGTGAAGTTCATGATGTTAGCACAAAAGTTCTGAATGACATCCGTTCTACAGGAAACCTAGGAAAAGGTATCAACTAAGATCTCTAGTGGCCCACTTTAAGTGTGTGTTTGGAATGGGGTTGAGTACTTAAAAGTACAACTACAGTGTTTGAATGATGACTTAAATTGTCGGATACCCCTTCACTCCTTTTATGAGTGAAAGCTAACAGTCTGACAAACCTGTAGGTTGTGGGTGGGGCTGATTTCATGTTATCCAGAGAACAGATAGGAACCTTCATTTAACATTTTCCAATTTTGAGTTTTTATGTTAATGAGATTTCAAGCTAATGTTTATTGCAGGAGCATTTGGGCTTTTACATGAACTTCGTGTATTTACAGTAGCTGTGAAGATGAATGTGAAAGTAGGATAGTTGGAAATTTATTCGGTTTGGTTTTTGGGCTAGTTACATAGGCAGAGCAACTGCTGTGAACTATTTGAGCTGAATTTAAGTGCCCTTTAAGGGTTACTGAGCCAGGTGAATTTAAGTCAGTTCAATTCCCTTTGGCGTGGACTGGCCAGTTTGATCCAGTGGAAACAGCACTCCTTGTTGGAAGGTACCTGGCACGAATTTTTTGCACTATTTGTACCTTGAAAATACTGCATGGTAGTAAATGTCTGAGACAGTAATGGGGAACGAATTGATGAACTAGCTCCTACGTATAAACTTGGTATTTTCAGGAGTTTCAATAGGTGAATTAAATATACAGCCTGTGGCAGCTGCAACAGACTGAAAATGGGTGTGCTGCTTGCGTTTTGGCCAGTGTAGAGATGACTTACAAAGTGCGGAGTGATGGATTTAGACCTGAATTTCAGCTTCTCTTGTTTGATTTGCATTTCAGGCGCCAAGCCCATCTTTGTGTGCTTGCATCCAACTGTGATGAGCCTATGTATGTCAAGTTGGTGGAAGCTCTTTGTGCTGAGCACCAAATCAACCTGATCAAGGTAAGTAATCCATCTAATTTGGTTTACCTGAACTGTTTCGATATCTTAGCTTAATGACAATTGGGCCAGTTAGGGTCGTGTGTCCAGCTTTCTGTGGGTGTGAAAAATACCACAGACTGGGCATTATGGGCCATGCTAAAGCTACAGCAGCATTTTATTGAACATTTTCTTTATAGAACGAAACTTAGGTAGAGTGCTGACAGGTGGGCTTGGTGCTGTACATGATGACAACTGGCTCCCTCTACTGAACTGCTGTGAGGAAACTGCCATGTCACCCTATCTGATTACAGCTGCCTTTCATTTAATGTATTGTCCGTAGCACAACTGCCTACTAGTGTGGTGATGTGTTTTTTTTTTTTATTCCTTCCGATAGGTTGATGACAACAAGAAGCTAGGGGAATGGGTAGGCCTCTGTAAAATTGACAGAGAGGGAAAACCCCGTAAAGTGGTTGGTTGCAGCTGTGTGGTTGTTAAGGTAAGTCAGTATTTGTGTGGGGTGAAGGTTGTGCTGGATGACCATGCTTAACTCCGTAATGCATTTAGGTAGTAACATAAGTCAGGAACACCTTAAAAGCAAAACGTGTGATTCTCGACAGATCTAGAAAGTTTTCGTACAGAAAAGGGAAATGAGCCGTAATTAAGCCAGCCAAAGAATCTGCTTACCTGAATGTGTTTCTGCAGAAATTTAGAAAATGCTGGCAATAGGAAAGCCATGTTACGAGCCTTAAAGACATTGAGGTCATTAAGGTCCCTGAAAATGGCTACAAGGTATTTTAATGATGAGAAGCATTTTCATGAGACATGTGCTAGGTTTTTTTTTTTAAAGCTTCACTCTAACTAGAGCTAACAATTTAGTGGAGTTTCTAAATTAGTAAAATCGCATATGATTTTTTTTAGGACTATGGCAAAGAGTCTCAGGCCAAGGATGTCATCGAGGAATACTTCAAATGCAAGAAATGATCAAATAAAAAAACTGGGCTCTTGTTTCTCATTTCTGTTCTTTGGGGGGAGGGCAGTAACATAAGGTCCCTGTTAACGAAGGACAAAAGATAAAAAATCATGGACGTGTGCTGTTCGTCTCCTGGTTTCTGAATGAAAGCCTGTTATCCCAACCTGTTACTTGAGTGTTGGCAGTTAGGACAGCCTAGGCGAACGTAGGCTTAACAGTAATATGCTGGCAACAGCCAGGGGTTCTTTCTTGGGTGAGGATGTTCATCGGTATGGCTGGGTCAGCCTAGAAACTGGAGAAATGAGTTGAGGCTAGTCAAGTGGGTGTCAGTAATTTAGAACTCTGTTCCCACAGCAGTCAATCTAAGTCAAAGGTGAGCGGATTAGATTTAGGCTGTGGGACTCAAGAAGGTAGGTACATGATGTTGGGAGTGCTTATGCACATGCCCATTAGGAAAGGTCACGGTGTCTTGACTTCATTTACCTAAATGTTAGACACAGAAGCACGATATGCTTCCAAGACTAGTGTGCTCAAGTCCATGAGAATCTTAGCAGGGAGGAGAGTAATAATGACCCATTTGTTTCAAGCTTGAATCAAGTTGGGTTTGTTGGTATGAGTATGAAGTGTTGAGCCTGCTAGTACTGATGGAAGTCTTTAACTTGGAATCTGGTAAATTGCTAACCAGAGTCCTTTTAATTTCTCCTAGTTTTCCAGTCTTTTTATGTAGCTTCAGGGCACATGTGAAGCTTGAACTTGAGCCAGGTCTGGTTTTAAATATTTGTATGGAGTGTATGCATCTTGGGAATTTGCAAGTTTAAGTCCTCCAAGATGTGTGACATCTTAATGTCACTAAGGTTTGATTGTCAGCGTGGTGTATTACACACTGGAGTGAATGCCTCCTGTAAACTCTAGAGCTAGCCTTACAAAACAAGTCCATCTAGGGGTAACCTGTTGCCATTAAATGTCAACCTAAGCTATTTGGCTTTTATAAAGAAAATGATTTTGATTCTAGTTTCCCAGTATCAGCATCTAAAAATTGTAAGTCATTCTGTATTTGGTGTTGCTTGAACTGTTAATGCAGTAGAAAAAACCGTATATATTTTAAATTACCTGAAGTTTTTATGTTTATGGGAAATTACTTAATTGAGGCTAGGGAAAATGGCAGTTTAATTACAGCAAAATATATGCATTTCCATATATTAACTCACTGGTCCCTTTTTGAGATGAGTGTTGGGAAAATTTTGTGAAGCTATTCTGTAACCTAAATATTCTGACATGGAATTTGACTAGTGTTGGTTTTTTGACATTTCCTTATTTGCTATCACCTGAGCTACAAAATACAAGAATTTTCTACCTTTGACCCTATCTTAACAGTAAGTACGCAACTGTTCATTGATGAAATCATACTGCTCAACCGTCTCCATCCTTAACACTTTCTGTTGATGTTTTTCTGGCTTCTGTCCTGGAATGTTAATACCAGTACTTTGTGGTCAAACAGTGGCTCTACTCCTTTTGACCTCTTGCTTAACTTTTAGAAAAGGTATATCTGATCTATACTTGTGACTTGCCACACACTCCCTCAGGCCCTCATTTCTCCCTCTTCCCACCCTTTGCATTATAACAGTTCCAGAGTTCAGGCTGTAGTCCTATGTATTAATCTTGAGGCCTGCCTGGGACATTCTTCTACTTCAGTCCTTTTTGTCCTTTGTCTTTGATCAGCTGTAGACCATGATGTGTGCTACACAGCACCCCATGAAAAACACTTAACCTCTCTGGTGTGTTGCATCTCAGGCAATTTTATTACTTTCCCCTTAAAGTCATGTTTTTGGTGAGAGGAAGGGGAAGGGCTGTTGAGCAGTTAAGTGTGTACCAGGCTCTGCACCAAGTGATTACTTACATCTTTGTGTTACTTTTTACCAGTTTCCCCAGCCAGAGCCTTCTGGCATCTTGTGCTCCTATCTTGTTTTTTACCTTGTTTTGCAGCCCATAGACTCCAGGTTGCACTGGCCTCCCAAACTGACTTCCTGCAGTGAGCCCACTACTCACTTTAGTTTTTCATCCATGCTGCTCAGTTGCAAGTGAAGTGTTGGTGAGCTTTCCTCCACAACGTTAGGTGGTTCTGCTGCTACCTGAAGTGCCTTTTCTCTATCTGGCAATCATCAAAACCCAGATCAGAGAAACGTAAGTTTAGCCTTACAGTTATGTCTTGCCTATATAGTTTGAGGGAGCCCATCCATGCTAAAGTGCCAGGGCAGAAGCAGGCATCCTCATTTTTACTGAGGAAGATAGGCCATCCTTCATGTGCCTAGAACATAACCTAAGCCAAGCATTTGATACTGTTATGCTCACGTGGGCAATGAGACTCGTGCATCCATGTAAACTTTGCTGCAAGAAAACCTAGCCAAATCCATTTTATTTCTGTTCTTAACTCTAAAATTTTTTGCCTGGACCTGACATTACTAAATTTTTATTACATGTATTTTTTGTAAGCCAGTTTAAAAAAGTGAATCCATAGAAAAATTGTAAAAAGGCTGTGGTAAGTTGGTATCAATTAAAAACTAGGAATTGACCCTTTTATCTAACCTGCTTTCTCTAGTCAAGGGGGCAAGCCGGCAGAGGGTGGTATTTGTTCTGCTGATAGAACTTTAACCAGAGGCAATGAAGTAGGAAAGGTCTGGCTTTGGAGAGGAAGGGCAAAGAAGGAATCAGTGGAAGCGGGTATCAGAAGTTGATAGTTCAGAAAGTTTTTCTGCCCAGCCTAAACATCTCTAACTGGATTATTGAGGCAATGAAACCATTATATGGGCAGAGGTGTTACAAGCCCTAGACAAATGTGGGAACATCTGTTAGTCTGACTGAAGGTATTCAGAGCTTGCTTGTGCTTAGAATATTCTTTAAGCCCAACTCTATAGGTATCTAAAAAAATTCAAGCTTTAAATGGAGCCGGAATTTTCTTTTTAGATGAATATACAGAGTTGGGCTTAATATGTTGAGCACAAGCAAGCTTTGAGTGCCTCTTCCTGCACTCTACCCACAGAGGAGGAAGGAGGGGAAGTGAGATCACAGCCTTGACCTCTCCAGGCTGAGGATGGGGCATTGCCTTCCCAGCTGAGCTCCTCAGAAAGCCCGATCCACAAGGCAGCAGTTTTAGTAGCAGTAATTTCTGGCAAGAAAATGGAGGCATTGTGGTTGGGCTATAGAGATGCCCAGGAGAGGCCACCAGGCTTTCCCAGCCTCCCAGAGATCCTGTTGGGTGACATCTGATTGATTGCTGGGGGCCGGGGGCAGAAGGGTGGTTGTGGTCAAAACTGATGATTGATCTTAGAGAGTGATCAGATATTAGGACTTGGGCAACGTAAATATTAACACATTAGTGTTCAGAAGGACTGGTGGTACCTGTGCTCCTCAGGCAAAGTTAAAGACTTTCAAACATGGTTTGCCCTTCAAATAGCATAAGCATAAATTATTTAAAACTGCTCTATCACAAGTGAAATGCTTCAGCCAGCTTTCTAATCTAAACCCTACAGAGCAAAGTCCCAGTATGCTGATGAAAGTTGCGGCACAATCTGGCTTTTGCTTGGAAGAGCTTAGAAATGAGGGTGATGGGTGACCCCTAAGGCTTCTTGAGACCTAAAGAGGCAATTTTCTAAGTTCTCTTCTAGTTTGTATGAACATCTCTTAAAAAAGTGTCTTGGGTTGTTTTGTTTCATATTCACTGACCATCTTCACATTCCTAATTTGATTTCAGTAGCAAGTTGGCTTTGGGAAAGGAATGAACCAGAGGAGAGACAGAAGTGCTCTTTATAGGAAGAAGGTGAATCTCAAGTTTTCTCTTTATGAAATAATCTGAATTGTGAAACATGAAAGTGGGGGGACCCTGGTGGGATCCTGTGTGCCAACCCGGGGAGATTCTGTTAACCTTGCATTTCTGATGATAAAATGGGGGAGAAAAGTCTTAAAGCAATTCAGAACAACGTCCGTTAAAAGAACTCATTTATTGGCCAGTTACAAATGGAAGAATGGTTATAGCTGTAAGTATATTTACCACAGAGCTAGACTTTAGTTGGTTGAAGGAGGGGAATGATTAAAATGTGATACTCTGCATAATGGGATCTTATGGTGCCATAAAAGTGGACAGCATGGAAAATATTAGTATATTTTTAAAGCAATATTCAAAATATGTACCCTAAGACCACATTTTGTAAGACAAAAATGAAATGAACATAAGGGTGCATTCCTGCAGAGAAGAGAAGTTGGAAGGACATACATCAAGGTTTTAATGGTGGTTTCCAGGAAGGTGAGTATTCTGGTTTTCCTTTTGCTTACTTGTTTTTCTTTTTTCAGTAATGTATTGCTTCTGTAGTAAAGAAATGAAATAATGGTACAGGACATCCTTAGGGTTGATTTTAAGTAACAATATAAAGTCTAAAAATTTTTGTTTTGTGCATAAGTTAATTTCTTTCCTTGCCTAGTAAAATAGCACTTGGAATAAAACAGAATAGCTTAAAAAGAGTGAATTCAGATCTAGCCAGCAGAGGGCAGTAAGAAGCTAGTGTCAGAGGGACCCATCAGTGGAAAATAAGCCAAGATTAGCGCTGACTACGGCAGGCTCCCCTTGGGAAAAGTTTCTTCTCCCATTCCTTGAAGATTGTTGGGCTTCAGTTTACTACTTCTGGTTGCATTTACTTTTTGCCTGGATAATGCAGAATCTACACCCCCTAGCTGGTGAGGTCATTTCACCATGTGCTTTGGGAGTTTGTCCATAGAGATGACTATAATTTTATATGCAACTAAGAAATTGAAACTCTGCAACATACTCCTAGGGAGAAGGTTTAGCTCTGATAGTGGATTGTATGGGTTTTTTTTAGGCCCTTTCCCTTCTACTGTATTGAGAATTTGTCTGGAGCTACCTAAAGACCAAAAAGTTTCAGAGTGGGCCCATTCTGGAAAATGGGCATAATTTGTTGAGTACCAAGGCAACAGCCATGCTTTGGAGATTTAAAACAGTGCTGCTCTCTGGAGACACTGACTTTGTTCTGTCCTGTACTGTATCTCCGGGACCTAGAATAGTGCTTGGTGTGGTTGGCACTCACGTGTTTTCTGTTGGATGAATAGATT